TGGATCGACAGGAGGTAAGTGTAAAATAATGTTGATATCATTGCATCCCACCTGTTCATCTTTGTGCAATAAGTGATTTAACTGTTTCCTGGAATAAGATGCTAAACTTTGCTGATGTAGCATAAACATTTTTTGTTGTGTTACCAATGAAAAGATCTGGCACAAACATGAGCTTGTAGCAATGTTGTGGGGAGACCACCACAAAGGTAGCAGAAATGGTTGGCCCATGTGTGACATGTGTTTGTCCATCTTTGCAGTGGGGTTAAAAATAGCTTTATTTTGTATAATTTCCTAGAGGAGTGAAAACCTGTTGCCTTTTTTTAAAAACAAGCAGCTAATTGGTCTAACTGCGCTTGATGGATTGCCAGAATTTAGTTTGACTTTATTTCACTTGTTTGGTCGGCATAGAAGATTTGATTTGGATAAAGCAAAAAATGTTGGCTCTGAAAGATGGACGACATATGCATTCATAAGCCCCTGTTATAACTGTGTCATCTCTTTCAGGGCCTTGAAGCTGTTGTTTATGATGCCTGTGTTGATGAGAACGGACTGACCATCACCCTAGAAGAATAGACTAGAAGACTAGATCAGAACAAGGCCACACTATGAGGACTAGATGCCTCTGTACTCACCCCTAAGCTCCTCATTGACACCCTTTGGTCAAACTCAAGTGCCTTTGATATGGACATTACAAATGTTGTTGCTATAAGAACAATAATAATTTATGAGCACAATAGTTGTTGCTATGAGAACAATAATATTTATGAGCACAATTGTTGTTGCTATTAGAACAATGATATATATGAGCACAATTGTTGTTGCCATGAGAACAATGATATATATGAGCACAATGGTTGTTGCTATGAGAACAATGATATATATGAGCATGATGGTTGTTGCTGTGAGAACAATGATATATATGTGTATGAGATCTGCTCAAAATAACAAGATATGTTAAACTTATTGAGCTCATCATAATGTGGCCCACCTTCTAAGTGCAATGTTGATGCCAACTGTGTCGGAGTGTATTAATGTTTAAATAATAAAATAGTACAGCTGAGGAGAGGAGAGCAACATGAGACACCGTATTTAACACTGTAACTTCCTTAGCTTTTTAAACAATGTATTATGTAGCAGAGTTTAAATTATAAGATTGTTCTCCTGTTACTTGTATTGGGATACTTAAAATGCTTATCTATGGTGTTACTAAAGAGGAAAATATTCTTAAAATGCTTATCTATGGTGTTACTAAAGAGGAAAATATTCTTAAAATGCTTATCTATGGTGTTACTAAAGAGGAAAATATTCTTAAAATGCTTATCTATGGTGTTACTAAAGAGGAAAATATTCTTTAATATTTGAATGTTTGTGTAATTAATTAACTTTGCATTTAATTGAGATTACAATCATTTTGTAACAGGTAACGTGAAATAAGATCAAATAACCTTGTTTTAAAATTTTGAGGTAGTTATTGTGTGATTACAATTTATACTTGAGGTTGAAAAATTGAAATTTTTAAAAACTTTCTTAGAATTGTAATTGTTCTCCGTATTTTTTGCAAGATGATTGTGATTTTTAAAGCTAAGGCAACAGTGTGGCAGTGGGGTTGGTGGCTGTGATATTTTTATATTGAATTTATTTGTATAATTTGTATTGTTCTGCCCGAAAGCAAACATAAAATTACAGCTTTCATTTTTCTATAATGTCTTTTAAAAAACAACCTTGATGTCAGAGATCTTTTTACATGATTTATTGAAGATTTTTGTGAAGATTAAATTGAAATGTTTGTTTTTCACAATCCAGGAAATAGATATATACACAGTTTCGTTGCTTATAGTTTAAAACAGAGAATGAATGGCAATGCTGATACATTATGATAGATTGGGCTACAAAGAGCATAAAAGCTCTGGGAAGATATATCATGTTTTGGTGCATTTAAAAAAAAAGCATAATAGAGGGATTTTATAATAAATTTTTTTTTTTTTTCAATGAATTGTTACAATTTACTACCTGAATTCTAGTATTTATTCCATTATGAATATATTCTGTATGGTGAAATTAAATTTACACTACAATTGACATTTTTAATGGAAAAATTCACACTTGTGATTTATTAATGCTGATTTGTATAAGCCTCACTCATAAATAAAGTTCACTCTCAAGTAATAAAATATTCCTTATGAAATCTATCCTTGACCTTATTCACACTTTCTAATTTAAAAAAGGGAAGTAATGACTAGCTATAAATTTGCACTCTTTATTTTCCTTGAAATCCTTAATTTATTCTGGATTCCAAATAAGGCTGAACAGACTTGTGCTTGACCTTTGTTTTTGTTTTTATGATAATAGTCTAACCTTATGCCAAATTTTTAAAAAAATTTCTATTAACCTTATTATGCCAAAATTTTTTTAAACAAATCTCTTATTAGCCTTAAGATGACATAAGATTTAGTAACCTTATGATGCCACATTAAAAAAAAAAAAATCTCTAATAACCTTATGGTATCAACATTTATCAAAAAAAATCTCAACAGTGAAATTAATTAAAAAATATATTCATTTTCACCCAGTATTGCTCTCCATCCTTCTCCAAAAACTTCACTTAGGCTTCACATCGGCTCCCACATAGCCCAGCCATGAGCATTACACAGATGTTAACTTCTTTTACATTTCACTGCATACCATCAAACCAACTAAGGGAACTCATTCTTTTTGACCCAACTAGCTACTAATTACAGTGCTGAATGTCTTGTATTCAACATTACTTTTATAGTGATTATTGTATTTAAGCTGATCTTGTTTGCTAAACTATTTTTATAACGGAAAAAACTACAATGAATAAACACAATTTTGGGGTTTTAGTCTTTTCTTTATTTGTTATTGTTATGAGCTTCACAGTTTCCTCTTATGAAGTTTAAAATACGTGTTAGAGCTTCATTTCCCTCTGCTATATTACAATGGTTTTTTGGGTCCATATACTATTAAGTAATTTTGTTATCTTACAATGTGGGTAGATTTTATTAAACTGTTATAAGTGTTAGTCAGTTTTACAGCTGCTCGAAGTGAGGCATCTGCAATCCAAGGCCACAGGTGGTTTAGAACTTTAATATCTGCAGGTCCAAAAGCAATTAATTTCCATTCTAGTATTTTGTAGACATCTTGTGAATTGGAAGCATAAAAAAAAAAAAATTGAAAAATCTGAAAAATACACTACGATCCTGTATAATTAATCTATGAAAAGTTTTAATTGTTAACAGACAAACTAAATTCTAAAAACTTAATTGCGAACAGATGTATTTTTTAAAACTTTACTGTTGTAAAGTGTTACTAAAATATTGTACATAAAGTTTGTACTTTTGTTGATTTATAAAAGGGAAAATAACACTTGGGGATTTTAATATGTCATGCATTAAAGCAATTTAAAAAAAAAAAATCATATGAGGTGGATAGTTATTTTATGTTAACAATTATTAACAATTAGTTATTGTGACTGGCACCCTAAGTTCTTGCATTTGTTTTGTTATTGATTTTTTGTTCTCAAAGTGGTAGCAATATGCAAACTGCAAAATAACTTATTTAAACTGTTAATGGAATTTCACATTTGTGCTGTTGCTGATTTGGCTTGAGGCTTTATCATAAATGAAGTTTATTTTCTAGCAACATAACCTGGTCTTAATTATGTGATTTAGATAAGGGAAGTAATGACTTACAATCAACATCTATAATTTAAACTCTTCTTGAAATCCATTTATGATTGCTGAATTCAAATTAGAGCAGAATTCGGTTACTCATTTTATAAATAAACATCATACTGTAACTATAATTATTATTTTATAGAAATGATGCTGGAAAAATTTTGTCTTACTTTCATAAAATTTTGATACAAAAATGCATTTTGACTGATGTGGATTTTCTTGATTTGAAAATATCTCAAGATGATCTACACTTTTTTGATGGGCTTTCTACTACAAAGTATAAATAAACTCTCATGAACTATGGAATGGCTTGGTTAGTTTTTATTTTTTGATTGTCCTTCGTGTCTATTGTGTGTGTGTGATAGTAACCTAAAATGCCAAAATAAAAAAAAACAACTCTTAACAAAATAAATAAAATACAACCAGTTTTGCTGCTTATTCTTTCCATTTTTCAAACACATCATTTAGGCTTATTCCCCACCCGTTGCTCATCTCTTATATATATTTTGCTTCTGGTGTGTCCTGCTTCATTTGAAAACCACCGCCATGCCTACTCCACATGTTTTATATCAATAGTACTGAGTGGGAAAAAGGCTGTCATGCGTGACGTGTGAACTCAGGTTTAAAAGATCTATGGGGGAGGCCACGGGTAAGGTGTAGGACTGTCGTAGAATGTCTGTAAGACTATTGCTTAAGGCCAGCTGGTAGGGTGTAAGACTGTAGGCCTACTGTTAAATTACCGACAAGTAAATAGGGTGTAGGACTGTCTGTAGGCCTATTTCTCAAAATATCCGGACCAGGTGTAAAAAAAATGCACACAGTTAAGCCCTAGTTTCCTATATTATATTATCTGTGGGGTTTTAAATATGTTTGCAGTAATAGCAGTGATTTTTAAATTTCTTAACACATTTATGAATAACTCGTTTTAAGAGGGGGGGGGGAATGGTTTGACGACTTTGCCTTAAAAAAACTGTTCTTCGCAATAAAAAATAAAAAAAATCATTGATATTTTATCCAGCAGATAAAAGAAGGAAAAAATAAATTTATTTAAAAAAAAAAAAGAATGGGAGTTCAATTTTCGCTAAGAATATCACCGACTTTACCAAATGAGGATTCCCCCCCCTCCCCCCCCCTAACCCCCCCCCCCCCCCGACTCAACCAAATAACCGAGTCTAGCGTTTACAAAATGTTATCTTCTGCCGTGGTATACAATTGTTACTGAACACCGACTGAACTAAGGGAACTCATTCTTGTTGATGCAACTAACCACACATACTACTGTACAGTACCAAACTTCTCTAATGTGAATGAGTGAATGCAAGAATAATAACATGACACAGCTGTTTTTATCGTGATAGTTGTAATTGTACGTATGTTTGAAATTTACTTCACATTTTAAAAAAAAAACTGCAATGATTACCACATGGCATATTCATACAGTTTTGATTTTTAGCCTTGATTATTTTATATGACAACAACCTCCGCAGTTTAGGTTAGTAAAAAAAAGTGAGTTTTTTAAATTTAAATGCTTTTGAGGTGTTGAGATGAGAGTTTTCTATTTTAAATTTGACTGTTACTATATATTTAAAAACATAATAAAATTAATAATACTCTATCAACATGGAGCCTATGTATATCAGTTTGACAAAACGTATGCCTACTACTCTCATAATAAAATGAATATTATTATGATTATTATAATTTCATCATTCAAACTTCCAGATTCTTTTCAGAGGTTTGGGTCTGAGTATTCAATACCCCACTCTTAGAAATTTTGAGATTTAAAAGAAAATTTTATGTGTGCACCCCTTTTTATTTTACAAAATTAATTTAATATGCAACAAAGGTCTAGAATTTTAAAAAAAGGTATTCAGACAGTAGATACTTTGGTCAAAAATGTAAACATTTTTTAAAAATAAACCAATGGCACAGTTGAATAGAGCTAATTTTAAACAGAATTATAACACCAAAATCATATTTTTAGCTGTTGTAGTTTTAAAGTTATGAATTTTTAAAGTACGACTTGGTTTGTCATTTTTTAACATGGACTGCATCTCCACATTCTGTGACCTCATTCCACTGATCGCGTCATGCGCAATGACTATATAGTTTATATAAGGCAACGCATTCCCTATCACTAAAATACTGTTTAGGGTCGACTTATTTTAAACTTTCAACTTTGGCACATGAATAATTAATAAAAGCTTTCCCTGACCAATGGTTTAATAGCTTTTGCACACGGCAAACTCTTATGAATGAAACTCTGAGATAGTACTACGACGTAGCCGTTATGCAAGTGGCTGTGAATGGTTGCCAATGACAACGTGTTGCACAGGGAAAATTCTGATCATTTATAATATGGACTCTGCAGGGTTTTTAAAGCTCAAATTAAAACATTTCCAGTTTAAATGTCTTCAAAATGCATTCTGAAACACAAAATATAAAATATTTTGATGTATATAGTGGTAATAATTAAATATTTCCTAAGTATCGGCAACTTCCGCCATTAAAAAGGGGGCGTGGCCCACGCCATGTCGAAATTAGGCTGAGCCACCTTATGGTGATATGGGTCACTGTGACAAGTGTAACAAACGTGAGACACGACCTACATCAATGAAACTTGGCACAGATATAGATCAATATCTAATGCTCATACAGATTTAATCAAAAAGGACCTTATCTTATTATTTCACAAAAAATTTTGTATGCGAAGATGCCTTATATATACCAAAGATTTTCAAAATAAAGGTCGATTGAAAAAAGCAAAATAGCTGGCTAGAAATGTAGGCCAAGATGTCTTCCAAATTATAAGGCCGGAAACGGAACTCAAATATATGTGGAAAGAACTAATTTAATAATAAATAGACACACACATCGGAAAATTAAAAACTCGGATTTTTCGGCGCCGACAGCCATTTCCGATACAAAAAAAATAGTAGTCTCCCTTGTTTCATCGAAGTATCTACAGACAGGTATTGAAAAATTGCTTTGATTGAAAATGAAGCGTCACAATTTTGTAAGAGATATTTGATTAGTGAATTGAATTTATTGAAACATTAATTTTAAAATATTTTTTTTAGGGGGCGTGGTTGGTACGAGGAAGGATCATGCCACACCCTCTTGAGGATGTGTGATGCCACACCCTCAGTATACCTTTGACTATGGGGTTGGAAGAGTAACTTTTTGTACAAGGTGGTGGAAGAGGTGTAGACCAATTTAAAATATTCAAAATCATGAAAACCCAACTTACAGTTTCATAAAATACACTTTTACACACTTTATTGCAGGCTCAATCATAAAATAAAATCCATAAGTTATCAGAAAAATAAATACCCATTCCAAGATGCCGGAAAAATTTTACCTCGTTTCAAATATTGTCTTATTAATCACCTGATAAAATATTAATTTAAAACATTCCATTGCATTGATATTTAAGAAAAAAAAGAAAAGTTAACTCTAGTAACAAGCCAATAATAAACAAAAGGGAGAGAATCCTACACAAAAACCCAAAGGTGCATGCTGAACAGAAATAAGGCAATGTGTGCTTATTATTTACTTTTATAAATTATGTGTGGTGTTAAGTGATTTTTTTTTTTACATATCTTTAATAATCAGGCCTAGGTACAAATAATATAAAGCATCAAAATGGCAACAAGTATATATGATGTGGACTTGCCAGATTGGAGGCTTAAAGAAATCCTTGATGTCGCTAATGAATGGACTATATGCAATGGTAAGCTTTTCTGATATCAACTTGTTATTGGCATTAAACCTGTAGTTGTCAAATGTATCATTTGGCGAATCAAAAGACTTGTTAAATGGTTTAAAGATTTTGTGTATGTGACATCACTAAAATGGTTCTTCATCCCCCCCCCCCCCCTTAATCTCTCCCACAAGAAATAATTGATCCCCCACGCTTTTTTTTTAACGTTTAATTAAAATGTATCATTTGGCGAATCAAAAGACTTGTTAAATGGTTTAAAAATTTTGTGTATGTGACATCACTAAAATGGTTCTTCCTCCCCCCCCCCCCCATTAATCGCTCCCACAAGAAATAATTGCTCCCCTAAGCTTTTTTTTTAACGTTTAATTCTCTCTAGCCTACATCTTTCTGTCTATTGAAATCCTTAATCTCCTGACTTAACTATTGGATGACTTTAAATTCAATTAAGAATACTCATCATCATTTGGATTAAAGGTAAAATATTAATATTACTTAAATTTTCTTGCATAAATGATTTATCTGTTGTACCAGGTGTAAGCATCAAGTCAGGGGGTGAAGGTGTTGAAGCCAGGAAAGCTGTCAGTGCTCCTTATAGTTTATTTCCGAGTGTGGTGCCAGCATCAATCCTGCAGCAAGCAAAATCTTCTATGGTCCACTTCAATCGTCTTATGCACAAGGTTGCCCTGGATCACGATTTTCTAGAGGAGTCTCTAAAGAAGTATGTTTATAAAGGAATTGCAGCATTCAGTGTAATTTTTGTTGACGTCCATCCACCTGTCTGCAAAAGATGTTATTGTAGTCTTGCTGGAAAACTGTCCAGTGAAACTAGAGTTGTCTTTTAAATGGAGCATCATCCGCTGGTGAATCCAATCAAATTTCATTCAATAATCAGTGTTATTAGTAACACTGTTTATCTATCATTCAGAACTGCAAACATATTTTATTTCTTTTAATGGCTAATACTGACATACAAATATATTTTATCTCAGGATGTTGCCAGTTATGAACTTTTGACAATTCCTAAAATTTGTAAATACTAACATAGTAAGCTTGGTTGGTAACAAACAATTCAAACAGAAATTTGTAATTTTCAGTGTTATTAAAGCTGATGACTTTATGGAAAATTTATGGAATATTTACCTGAAGGTGCGAGACGCAGGAGTAAAACAGGTAGGCACATCATGACCACTGTTTTTTAATGAATATCAGACTTATTCCTTTAATGGTTTATTATTTTTTAACTAGAACTAGTTTTAACTAAAAACTAGTTGTTTTTTTTTACCTAGAAATAATTTTAACTAGAACTAGTTTTAGCTATAACCAGTTGTAACTAGTCTTTTTGATTTGCAGCTGATCTAAGCCAGCAATGTTTTGTTTTAATTAATTAAATTTTTTTATTACACACACAAGATGCACATTGCTGGCTTAGAACTTAGAAAAGCTTAGAAACTACTGTGTGATAAATAAGTTTTAATTCAAAGAAAACCTGTGTCAAATAGGGATTGCACTATATTTACTTTATTTCTGAAACAGTTTGAGGTTTATTTTGAGTGTTAAATGTGAAATTCATTAACTTTTTATTTGTTTTTTATTGCATCAGTTGTTCTCATCATTTGTAAGTTGTGAGTTATGTCAGAAGATAACACATGTAAGGATGCCAAACTTTTAATCTAATAAAAATGAAACTGCTTTTAGCCTGTGTTCAGTACCTAACAGAACCACAGAATTTAGTATCAAAGCTCAATAGCTTGCTCATTTAGAACATTAAAATAGTGAATTTTGGTGACATAGAATGACTGCAATACTGTAGCAAATTGTTAATACATCTTTCTTTTCCATCAGCCTTATCACCTAGGTCTGTTCCGCAATGATTTCATGATGAACTGCCTGAATAATGTAGGTCCCGGAGAATTAGTCTCAGCTGATCAGCTTGAGCTGAAACAAATTGAATTCAACGCCATCTCTTCCAGTTTTGGGGGCCTTTCAGAACAGTTGGGTCACTTGCACAGGTAAAATAAATATTTATGTCTGAGTTCAGCTAGGTCAAACAAGCTATAGGTAATGTTCGTCTAAGAATGGATAATTCAGTCTCACTTGTCAGATCAATATTTATCTGAGTAGATCAAGTTTAAATTTGCTGAAAGTTGATAATATTATGTAGAAGGGGAATGTTCATATTTTGTCTCAGGTAAGATTCGGTTGTGTTATCTGAAAAGGTCAGGTGAAAATTTTCAGAATGCAACCCCATTTAAATGGATATTATATGTGGACACATGTAAATACTATTTTGATTGATTAATATATATTGGGGTCCATTTAAATTTAGGCAGAACAGACAATAAAACATTTGATTAGATTTGTCAACAGAATTGTCTTTATCAGTTTCGACTGAGACATAAAAAGCACCACAATGTATGTTTATTAACTCTGTGCTGTGCATAACATTATATTTAGCAAAATAAATGATAAAATGTGAATGAATGTTATTTAATTTTTGTGAGAAAGAAAGCAAGGAGATAACAGCAAGTTTGAATGAAAACAATGGAGATGTGTGGAATGTGTGTCAGTTATTGTGGCTGTTTGTTGACTGTTTGAATGTTAGATTGTTCCTCCAGCTTATGTCATGGCATCTCATTTAAATGAATCTGGAGACTGAAGCATCAGTGGAGGAGGAATGCATCAATATCTTTCTTAATATTTCATAAATACTTACTGAAGCAGTCACTTAACTGACAGCCTATTTCTTCAGCTGTGATGTCACTTGCATTTAATCTGAGATTGCTACTATAATATATTAAAAGGTGTGAGGGGCTAATGTGTTGACAGCCATTTTATAATCAGAGACAGTTTAGTGCCTGGAAAATGCCACAAAGTTTCAGTTGTATTTCAAAATTAAAACAATTTTCTATTGATTTTTTTATTTTGTTCTGCAATTTGGTTAATTTGAAAAAATTTCACCATTTAGCACCAAAAGTGCTTAACTCTTTCATTGCAGAACTTTTTAAATGAAAGAATGTACATTTTTTTTCAAAAAACAAAAAAATAGAGTTTGGATTTATTAAAAAAAAATATTTAAAATATTGTTGTATGGTTTATTTAACTTCTTTCTTCAGTGTAACTAAAATAAGTAACAGAAAAAAAACTTAAACTGTGAAAACATGATATGCAAAACCATTTTTTTCCCCAAATCCTTTGATGTAGGCTTGCAATCATCTTCACAGCTATCTTAAATCGTCTAAAACTACTACTATCAGAATCATGCGATAGATCTAAATCAACTTCACTATCAATAGAAATAGTATAAAACATTTCCAAAGCTTTTTGAGCTGTTAATCATCTAGGAAACTTACCCCACTAGGGCCCAGGGTATCCATAGCAACAGTATTGATAGAGAAAAAACTGCAAAGAATATTAATAAAATAATGCTTCAAATGACAACAAGTATACCTTGGCTTCGCAACAATGAAGTACCACTCTTCTCTGTAAAAGTCTAATTAAAAATAAAAAGATTAACTGAGAAATAGCAAAGAAACAAACATGATATTGAAACAACAAACAGTGCGTTGGCCCGTGCTTTTTGGCACGGCGGATGAACTTACTGTGCATCGGAAGAGTTGTGTTAGATGTTTTGTTGTTGTCCGCAGCCAATGGTCTTTGCATGATTACCACTAATTAATCTGAATCATTTTTTTGTGCTTATGTTTGAATGAAGCAACTTTAATTAAAATGTATTTTTACAAAATTTCTGACAGACTCACGCTTAGAATGTGTGGCAAACAGTTTGACTCTGATCAGGTTAGGCTCATTATATCCTTGTTATCATTCATTGTTGTCATCCCTTGTTACCATCCAATGTTATCATCCATTGTTACTTTCATTTCTATTACATATACAAGTGATATAAATTATTTTCTCTTGTAACTTTCACGTTTTTATTTCTTATGAGTAGGAAAGGTTTATATCATGTTATATTTCATTTAGTTTAAGTCAATTGGTTTGTGTTAAATATTTGAGACAAACATTTTCATTAGATGATAAAGCTAGAAATCAAACAACTTGTTGCGGCAGGAACCAGCTGACATTGGGATATAAAATAAATAGAACTATGTTCTTCCCATGAGTTTAAAGCCCTAGGGAAGAATATTAAACCCAGAGCCCTAAATAGAATAAAATTTATCATCCTGTGCCATGTGCATTATTGCAGAAAGAGATGGGGAAAAGCTCCTGCTAAGTGTTTTTATCTAGAATTTAGACATGTCTAGAGCCATAGTCAAAATTATCTACTTCATCTTCAACTCTGCAGCTCAGGGCTAAGTAAACAAAAAATTACTATGTTTGCAGATTCCTGAAAATAGGTCTGCAACAGGATTAGCTCAAGGATTAGCAGCTGCCTGGGATCTTTATGGTAATCCTAAGTAAGAGATATTTGTCTGAGATATTTGTATGAAAGAATTGTATTTTACTATATTAAAATGTGTAATATGAAACTAATAATTGTCTGCATAAGAGTAAATTATAAGGGCTGTTCTGTGTACACAATGTTTCAAGTTGTAGAATCTCTTTTAGTCTTGCAAGCTCACCAAGGATGTAATCCCATAAATCACTATATTAAGGTCCTCCTTTAATTAGTTCAAGGAGGGTATTTATTGATTTTTCAGATTACTGCAAGTATTATTGCAATTTTGGTGGAATGTTCAAATGGACAAATTTATGAAAATTTAAAATAATTTTCTACTAAATAACTCAGACTTTTAATTTCCTTAAGTGAAAACATCCTTGACAGTCTGATAATTTTGTCTTTTTCAATTCCTCCCTTAAATTTAATTTTGTTTTGTTCCATACATTTTATTTACAATATTTTTTATAAGCTTGTGCTTGTACATAGCCCAAGAGTAAGGGAGCTTGATTCCATCTTAAATATCTTGCCTGGCTGAATTTATTTTGTTACAAATTTGGCTTGGCTGAAATAAAACGTCTGGTCTCTTTTGAATCTCATCATTGATTTTCCCATCCAACTGTACGAATATTGTTCTTAAATTTAAAAAATAAATAATGTATATATATATAATTTTAGTAATTTTTTCAACAGGCAAAGGTAAATTAGTGATATTTTTCTGTTATACAGAGCAGTTTTGTTGTACCTGATTAGCAGTGATGAGAGGAATGTTATCGACCAGCGCTGGTTGGAATTCAAAATGTACAACACTCATCCACAGATTCGAGTGCTACGAAGGACACTTGCAGAACTCAGTGACAATGGAATACTGCAAGGTGATGGTAGATTATTTCTGTAAGTTGGAGGCTTTGAATCATTGATTCCTTGTGTTAATTATTCTATTCAAATAAGTTTGCACCAGCACCTTAGGGTGAAACTATTGTCAAGAACACCAGGCGGAAAGGAGGAACACTCGCACCCGTTCTAGTTTATGAAACGAGTAATACCAGTGGAAACACAATTATGTCATGTAGAATATTATTCCAAAGGGCTCAGCGCTCTGTTTTATATACAAAAGCCTCATGAAGATGCTTGAACCTTTTCACCAGCGACACATAAAGCTCACAATGGGCATGAAATGGCCAGGTTACATAGAGGTGTTAGTAGTAGCTAGAATGGCGTTAAGGCCACCGTTCCTACAAGACAGCCACATTTGGCAGGGCATGTTGCTCCCATGGGAGACCATTGACTTTTCTCATCTGTCTTAGCATGGGTTTTTACACTTTGTTAGTAATGTGAAACTACCTAGAGTAGGCCAGGGGAAATCCGGGCAGCTGCCTTTTTTTGTGTGTGGCAGTGTGCTAAGAAAATTTTCAAAGTTAACCTTATGTGGCGCTCCAATACTTCTGCCTTTGCTTGCTGTTTGAATGGCCTCTGCTTTTATGACAAGCTATATTCTGAATTTGTTAAGGAAAAAAAATTACAGTAAATGTTTTCATTTTGTTTAAAGGTAACTTAACCTATTTATATATTTTTATAATAATCTTCACATTTGATCAGATAAATAATGTGTCACTTGTCTAAGACTTGAATGTCAGTTGGATGCATATTTTTTGTTAAATAATGCTATGAAGTTTTTATTTATGACTCATTTGATGCTTCATGATTTCTTCCTTTCATTTCAGTGGTAATGATGAGGTTGCTGTGGTATACATGAGGGATGGTTACACAGCAGAAAATTATCCAACACTTAAAGTTAGACCCAGGTTTTTTTATAACTGTTTATCTAAAACAAATATTGGATATTTAATTGTTGTTTTCATCCCTATAAGATTTGAACCAAGCTGTACACCAATGTTTTTTGTTCTGTGTTAATTTTTCCAAATAATATTTGATGTAAGTAAATTGTATATTGTGAATGACGAATGTGAAGCCTGTAAAGTCTGCCTTACTCCGGATGTAATATTCCTCTCCCAGGAATGGGATGGCCGACTGAAGATGGAGTTATCCACTGCCATCAAATGTCCGTCTATCCAGTACCAGTTGGTGGGGTCCAAAAAGATTCAACAGGAACTGGCTCGCCCAGGCGCCTTAGAGAAGTTTATATCTGACCCTGCAATTGTGCAGTCCATCAGATCAACATTTGCTGACTTGTATAGTCTTGACCTGGTCAGCAATAACCATTACATTCTTAGAGTTAATTTATCAAGTTTTGCCATTTCAGTTTCTCTCTTAGCACTTGAACATATTTGCCATGAAAGAAGCAAAAAATAGTTGCATTTTACAAAAATTTCAATTAGAAATTCAATAATGTAAGAACTTAATTTCAAATGTCTTTAAAAGATAATTTTAAAAACAACAACATATTATAAGACTTACTAGAGATTTTAAAATTTATCCCACCAAAACTGAGGGAAATCCTTAAAAACTTCAAATAATGAGACTGTCAGGTGTTGAACACTTTCTCGTAGTTTAATTTTAAAAAATTAATACAAATTTCAGGGCGAAGAAGGGGACATTGCTGTAGGAAAGGCTTTGGCAGCTCCTGACAAATTTGTTCTTAAGCCGCAGCGAGAAGGAGGCGGTTAGTCTTGTTGAAGTGTTATTAAATTACTTTGCATTCAGTTTCATTAAACAACATTAGCTAGGTACCAGGATTTTTTTAAAGTTATTAAGCTAAGTTTAACGAGACTGTCATGGTCTTACCATGTTGCCAAATAAACATTATTTTTTTCCCACACAGGTCACAACCTCTACAGTGAAGCCATAACCAATTTTTTTACCACATATAGTAATTCCAAAGAGCGTGAAGGCTACATTCTCATGCAGCGCATCTTCCCGTGGCAGCAAAAAAATTACCTCGTCAAAGCTGGAGTCCCGTTTGTTTTATCCAATGTTGTTAGTGAGGTTGGAATCTACGGAGTTTATTTAGGGTGAGAATCTGGTTTATGAATTTTTAAACTGAATGAAATTTTTATTTCATTTCAGAAACAATTACATTAGTTACAAAACTTATTTAGGTGACTTTACTTAGCCATTTGTAGCTGAAAATATTTGACCCCGATCACAGAGGTTTGCAGGGCACAGGAGAGATGTGTAAGCCATGAGGTTTCCACATCATAGCTCAAAAGTCTTTTATTCTACGCACCTGACTTTTTTTAAAACAGTGTGTGGTTAGATACAGGGCAGTTAGGTATTTGTTTGGATCAAGCCCCGTGTCTGTTTTATTATTCCCTGCTGTGAAAGGTCAGCAACCTGAGTCTCATGCAGATCTTTGCAGGGATAGATGCAGCTCTTTTTTTCTTTTAATTATCTGTAATGATAATTGAAAAATCCAACCCTGCCTGGGGATTCAAAAAATATTTTCTTGGCATGATTTAATTTACAAAAATGGCTCCTTATTCAGTAAAAGTTCCCGACCTCTTGGTTAAGGCATCTGTGTAGGACAATCTTGCTAAAATGTATCTGCCTATATTTCAGTCTTATTTTTTTTTATCTCACCCTCAACTCAAATTTTATGTCCTAGGTCAGAGGCTGAAGAAAAACAGAATTATGAATGTGGTCACATGTTGCGGACAAAAATCTCTGGTACAGATGAAGGAGGAATCGTTGCAGGATTTGCTGTACTAGATACTCCATTTCTTGTAAGCTAGATATTCTCTTATTTTGGTTTCTTTTTATTTTTGTTTTTGTGATAAAGGAAAGTGAATTAATTGAAAAAGAAGATTGGCTCAAATATCCTGAAGCATTTTTTATTAGAGGTTACTTGCATCTAATTATTGCCAGGACAAGGCTATTGATAATTATATGTTGTTGTTTTTTAACAACATTGAAATGATGTTGTTCTATAAATAAATATATTTTATACTAAGGAGATTTGGATTTTTTTCAAAAATCCCCTATTCAGATTTTTTTGCCAGTTTATCCTTTTATTTGTGGGGAGGTGCTCTTGTCGCCACAATGGACTGTTTGTGTGTTCGTCTTTAGTCAATTCATTCCCAAACTATTATGAATTGTTTCTTTTCCTTTAATGGCTCTGAGATGTACCATTCAGTGGAGTGAAACCTGAATTTTGAAATATTAAAAAATTGTTAGCTAAAAAGGGCTGAATTTTAAAAAAAAAAATGCAATTAATATTGTAATACATTTGCAAATTATTTTAATTATAATTTTGCTTGTCATATTGCAAGTAAAGAAATACAAACAACTATGTAATCATTTTTTCAGCTTAAAAATTTGACTATTAAATTACAAATGTTCTACATAACCCTCAAAGATCTTTCGAGTATATTTTTTTAGAAATTTAAGTACAGATAAGTAATATCTTGTAAAATGTTGCTAATGTTATGTAATTTTGTATTAAGCTGTACTATTTAGTAACTATCTATTTATATGTAAAAGAATATATTTTCTAGCCTAAAAATGCTAGTTGTATGTAGTGTTTTTATAATGATAAAATTGTTTCCTAAAACCTGCAATCAACTTTAAAATGTATTTTTACTGATATGCAAGATACATTGTAATCTTTCTGATTAAATATGATCTACTTATATACATTTGTTTTAAGTTGTTGTTTTTTTACACATTTACACTGACTTCACAGTTTGGAAATGTCTTTTTAAAAAAACCTTGATGAAATAAATTGTTATACCAAAAAATACATTTAAATGAAAGAATTAAAAGGAATGTTAAATAAGTACCCATGGTAAATGTATGTGAGTTTGAATATTGTTTTCAAATTAAAATTATGGTTAAAAATGTCTAAAAGCCTCAACATGTGATGCAGTGAGGGCTTCTTTATTTCTCACACTATTAAACCCTTTACATTTAAACTGTGCATCATGCCTTAGAACAGTGGTTCCTAACCTGGGTTCGATCAAACCCCAGGGGTTCGGTGAGTCAGTCTCAGGGGTTCCGCGGAGGTCCAAAAAAAATCAGAAAAAAAATCATATTTTATTTTTCCTATTAAGAAGGGTTCGGTGAATGCGCATATGAAACTGGTGGGGTACCTCCAAAAAAGAACCACTGCCTTAGAACAATTAAACAATATGGAAATTATTGAATTGGAGGTTATTTTAGTTTTTTTAAATTGCAAATCAATGGGGCTATCAATAAAAACCTCACATGTCTAGAGAGGAGGGGTCACGAATTTGAGAAGATTTCAGTGGTGGAGCTGGGGAAACAAGAATTATAAAAATATCATGATCTGCTAACTATAATGAATAATTTTATCACTGGACAATTGACGTAAATTAATGCTGAAATATCCCCCCCACAAAAAAATTTAGGAACATTATATCATGACAGAAGATAAGATAACAGACATTTTCATTTCTACTTTAATTAAAGGAGACAATATTATGTAATCTAATTTTCAATTATCTTTCCAACTTAAATTTGCCAATTTTGTTTAAATTTGGATCTTAAAAATTTGAAATATTGTAAATAAACAAAAATTATGACTTTAGGATCTACCCTTATTTAGTACATTAAAATGTTTTGTCAGACAAAACTTAATATTGAATTTCAACACTCTGGGATTAGCTTAAATGAGAGAAATATTTTATTACAGATATAAACAAACTAACACTTACTCCTCACGCTGGTCAAGTGTATACAAAGTTTTTAAAAAAATGAGAATATGTACGCAAAACTATGATACTCGTTACCAGAATAATCCCAATTTAAAAAATCAACAACTGATAAGTAAATATTACAAGGTTTGCATCATTTTATTTATTAGTGGTCTTCATGTTAAAGTTCAAAATAATGCAGGTGTAGTATTTTACTTTTATTTTTAAAATAATAATGACATTTGTAGGTGTTGTCTGATAGTTGGGGCATTAGGCATGATCCCAAGGCTGGTTAGAATGTGAAGTCTCAGTTGTAAAGGTAAGTGACGAGTTGGCTTAGTAAATATGGTATGTGGATGAGTACATTTTTAAAGATTTTTCTGACTTTCCATTCTTCTTTACTTTGGTTTTTGCGCCCACTCCCATTTTTCCCCAGGGTGCCTCGCTGAGATTTGACATTCGCTGACAGAATTGTTTTTGATGAAATAAAAAATGCAGCATGCAAACACAAGTCATCGCAGTTTGACTCAAATAACAGGACTTACCAAATCAGCTATTAACTGTTTTGTATCTAATGTAAATACCTTTTTTATTAGTTCGTATTTTTGTTCCACAATAATTAATAGATATGTCCCTCGGTTGCCTTGAAAATTGTAAGTTGTATTTATAATTCATTAACAGCCGATCTTGAAAGGAAAATAAAGGCGATGGAGATGAGATGCTTCAGAAGCATTTTTGGCATCTGCTATAGAGACCATATCTCCAATGTTACAGTGAAAGAAAGGGTTCGTCAGGCAATTGGGGAGTACGACGACCTACTGGTGACTGTGAAAAAACGCAAATTACAATGGTACGGCCACGTAACAAGGAAACAAGGGCTTGCCAAAGAAATATTGCAGGGCACCACAAGAGGAGGGAGAAGAAGAGGAAGACAAAGAAAAAGGTGGGAGGATAACATCAAAGAGTGGACAGGACTAACACTAGAGCTGAAGACAGAGAGGAATGGAGGAGGATGGTTCACATGTCATCTGTGGCACCCCAACGGTCCAAGGACTAAGGGACCTGAGGATGGGGATGAGGAGGATTTATAATTCATTCAATGTATATATATATATATTTACTTACTTTACAAGTAAGGACATCAGTTTCATTGGCTGGAAAGGTTATTCCCAAATAACCTCAATTCCCTTGAATATGTGCTTGAAAAAATGCATTTCAAATGGTATGAGTCATCTGATTAATTATGCTGACTTATTTAGTGACTTGAACTATCATATGACTTTAATTACCTTGTGACTTGAACTACCTTGTGACTTTAGCTACCTTGTGACTTAAACTACCTTGTGACTTAAACTACCTTGTGACTTTAGCTACCTTGTGACTTTAGCTACCTTGTGACTTTAACTTTAACTACCTTGTGACTTGAAATTAACTTTTGACTTGAACTACTTCTGTTTTAATTATTATTTTTTCAAAAATTGTTTGGATTTTAACCAAATACATCACTTTTAAACTATTTTTCATATATTGGACAAATATAATTAGTACCTTTATGAAAATTTTTAAAAAATAATTTAGATCTATATTAAAACCATAATTTTGTTTTCTTCTGGCTAATGATAAAAACTTACTTATGAAGGCCCAATAATTGATATGATTCCTTTAAATATTTTCAATCTTACACAGCTGAAGGCAGATAAGCTATAATGAGATGTCAAATAGTTTAATTTGGAAATTCATATTTTTTTCAAAATGTCAAAAGTTATCCCAGTTGACAGACTTAAAATTTGGTATTCTGTTGAGGCTAAAGTTTTGATTTACCAAACATGTTCTCATATGCTTTTATTTCTAGTAGGTAGGGAATGGCAGTAAAGTCTGTGTGTTACCCTAGCTAAAATTATCTTGCTTTTTTATACAGAAAGTTGGTATTAAAAAATATCTATATAATTATCCTTTTTTTTAAATTTTCCTATTCAGTAATTTTAAAAAAATATATTTGTAGCAAAAGCTTTTCTGGTAATTGTTCCTTGCTGATAGTTCTGATTGACTGTTTTATTCTTGGTATATACATGTTTATGTATTCTACCAAATGTAGCAATTTATCATGAAAGCAAGCACAGAGAGTGAACTTAAAAGTGTAATTTTTTAACATTTGTATCAACAGCACAGTTTATGGGAAATACTTGAAATAGCTTTAATTAAAATTTAAATATAGAATTTACATCTTTATATGACAAATATACCAGTTCAACAAATTAATAGAATGTGTGCGTAATTTAAGTTTTCAAAATTATTGTACACAAACAATAATTTAATTTTAATGAATTTTTAAAAAAAAGAAAGTTTATTTCACACCAACAACATATGATCAATAATATTCAATGTTTTTTAAATTCTAAAAAAAAATAGAACACATTAAATATACATAAGTGTTGACTAAAATCTTACAAAATGACAAGCTCTTTTGTAATTGATTTGACTGTAAATTTCCCCTTGTCAAAAATGTGCAATTCTATTCCACTTAAATAATACCAAAATAAATATCATCTTTTCCCATTTAGCCCTGTAAAGTGAGCTTTTCCCATTTAGCCCTGTTCAGCGTCAGGAGTTAATACAAGTAAATAATTTTCAATAATTTTTAAAATAGTAAAACACCTCCATTTTTGTTTTGACAATAAAGTTATTTTATATTTATGTTTATAAATTTTTGAGTGCAGTAATCTTTCCAAATTGGAAAAATTTCTGAAAACTCATCCATCAAACAAAAAAGTTTTAAAAAAAACAACAATTTTTCTTACATCAAATCTTTAACATTTCATTAAAAAAATGACTTGCTCTTGGTTTCTTTCCACAATTATTTCTTTAGGTAGAAAATAACCATAATTTTGTTTGTTAAATTCTAATTACAGATCCTTAAGCTTACATTAAATGAGGGAGAAAAAACTTAAGCAAATGGAAAAGAAATAAAGAAATGGTTGGCAGAACGCATTTAGCATTTCCTTTGATATGACATATCCTTATTTGTGCAATTGTGTTTCTAAGATCTCTAGGCATGAGAGCTAGCCCCCATTTATTTTGTTTTATAACTTCTCTTTGCTACAAATGGCAAATCATTTTACATGAAGCTAAAATACATTTTGAGAAAATAGTTCTTAATATCTTTTACAACCCAACAAGGTCCCGCTAGTCAAATAAAACCATTCCAGACTCATTGATTCCCAGCTTTTTCTGCAGCATGAGTGCATTTTTCTTGAATTCTTTCTCAATAGTTTTCATGGCGTCCTCATCTTTTGCAAAATCGTCAATGAACTTTGGCCTTCGGGTGAAACCAGATTTGACCTTGACATTAATGGGAGGCTTGGAATCTAGTCTGTCAGTGCTGCTCTCAACATCGTCACCTTTAAATTCAGAAAGTTTTGACCTCTCATTTTCAAGGTTACTGTCTGTATTTACGTTTGGATTTTCTACCTCAGATGCTGTGGTGGAGCTTCTGTCACCAATATTTTTTACTTCTTCAGCGTGTGAATTTCTCCTTTGTTTTCCTGACTTTGGTTTGGCGGTGACTGGACGTGTTGTTTCATACTTGAGGGGGCGCTCATTATTTTGTGTGATAAATACTGCAAAATATTTTTTTAAATCTAGCTTTTATAAATAAATTAAAATCTGATTAAAACTACATTTAAGAATAAAAATCTGTAAACATTGAAAAAAAAAGATAGCTGTGTTTCTTATTAATGGTAATTGACCAGTGCCGGGAGGCAGAGCGGTCTAAACTGACCCAATCCCAACTTGTGGACTGGAGTTCAATCTCTAGTAAAAGTATAGACAAGCAAAAACATCACCAGCACCCCGGGTGGATGGGACCTGTTAACTCTGTATGGCAACTCATCTAAGAGAAGACAATCTCTGAAATCAAACCTGGAGATGGAGTCCCATAGGTGATATGACATTGACACAATGACAATTCTGACAACTCCAGCGACATGGAACACATAAAGAGCACATTGAAACAAAACAAAAAACAACATTGCTTGTCATCTACAGCAACATGGTCTACTACTAGTCATCTTGAATAAATTTTGCCCTTTGATCAAATAGTGAGAGAGTGAGAGGGTACTACTCAAGTTGAATATTGCCTTGGATCTTCGGGGGTGTGCAGGATTAAAAATAATGTACCGATACCTTTATTTTCTGTGTGGAGCTCAGTAGAACTATCACGGTTTAGACGAGGCCTTGAGCGCTGAATATCTCCTTGTTTTAAACTGGAAGCACTGACAGGTCTGGTGCGCTTCACAATGTTATTGTCGCTAACTTCAAATAAGCTTGTCTGAGAAATAATGCAAAATGTGTGAGAAAACAGAGATGTGTTTTTTTTAAAAAAAAGGAAATGACAGATTATAAGATTGGTTTTACAACTTGACAGTAATTTCCGAAAACATAACATTTTCATAACTTAAAAGTTGAGGTAACATTTAAGCTTTTTTAAAGTGCACTCTTGGTAAAAATTTCTTATGTGACTGACTGGTAAGAATAATATTAGTTAACATTGGAATATTATTGCAAAACAGTCCTAGCTTTGAAGGTTGGTTTTTTATGTTTTTAAATTCACATTCATAAAATGATTGGTAGAGTAGATGATGTTATAAAAGTAGTGTTTTAGCATTAGGGTTAGGGTTAGGACATGTGATTGCATCCAGTGAAAATTTTCAAGTAGATAACCAACCTGGGTGTATCTGGTCGGGTCATTATAAACATTTGGTGGCAGACGTCGTGGTTGAGATGAACTTGCATGTCTGGGCATGTACTTTGAAGGTGTAATTGTGTAGGGCTCGCTCATCTGATCAATAAAAAAAATTATCAAATTTTTCTACGTCAGGTAAGAAAAATGAGTTACATATTTTAATGAGAATGTATTTTAGAAATATTTGAACACATTCATCTATTGCTTGATTTCAATGAGATGTCATGTGCCACTTACCTGAGCAGAAATCATCTGATCTGTTGAAACTGTTTCCCCAACCAGATCTCGTAATGATACCTCTGCTCCATTGACCACTTCCTGTGTGGTTCTCATTCTTCGTGGTCCTGCAGACTGGGTTCTTCTTAGATTTCTTGACCCAATTTTCTGAAATATATATATATTATATAGTAAATCCGATAATAATATATTCAGGTAATATGAACAATTGCCTGACAAAATTAAAAGAGTGTAAAATGTATGATAGACACAGAATTAACTTAAGATGTAAAACTGCAAGACTCCTCTTAGAATGAGAATTGTACATTCTTTTTCATAAAGCAAATTTGAACTTAAATAAAATACTTTCTGTAAGTATGTTTTTAACATGTTTTTATAATGTATCAAAATAACATGTATCAAAATAGTTATTTTTAGCAAGAGTGCACATTTTATCAAAATTGGTGTGAATTGTAAGTAAACTGAAGAATTACTTAAAAATAATGTTAGTACAGAATATTGATCGAAATTTTGTGTGTGTATATAATCATAAAATGAAAATTAATTATCTTTACAAACCCCAGTGTTATGCAGTTGAACTTTAGTGATATTGTTGTGGTGATCTTGAAGTACAGCATCCATGTATAGCTGTCTGTTCTCTATATAATGCTGCTGGTGTTTTCTAATTTCTGTTTGGACAGCCATATATTCCCTCTCTAAAAGCTTTAGGGCAAATCTTTCCCAATTCTGCTCACATCTTCTCTAGAAAACAAAAAAAAAAGGGGGTGGGGGGGGTGGGGGGGATGCACATGTTAAAGCTGGGTTGAAATCAAAGAAACTGAACATAGATGTAATGACTCCATTTTGAGGTTTTTCTTTAAATTAATTCATTTATTTTTATTTAATTTTGAAAAAAAAAAAAATAAACATACATTTTAATAAACTTAGAGAAGCATGAACAAATAATCATACAGTTTTTGTAATTGCAGTGTCCACTGATGAATTTGGTCTTGCATGTGTTCCACTTGAAGTTGCAAGATGATGTGGAGGAGAGATACCTTTAAAACAATATAAGTTAATTTTCAGTTAAGACGGTGATTGTAAACTTGATTGGTTCAACAATACTCCAATGGTGTAATGAAATTTTGAACTAAAGAATTTGATCAAAACACAAAAAGAAAAATACTATTTGAAATAACTGCAAAAATTAATTATTTCACCATAAAATTCAATCAACTCATAACCTGAGCAGTGATCATAAACAAATTTTAACAAAATGACTTCGTCCAATCAAGCAACTGTACAGAGGAATTTATAAATACAATCCAGAATGATGGTTATCTTGCAAGTTTAAGTTTCACTATATAAATAAAATGTGCGATCAAAATAGATTAAAATTTCTGATTAACTTCATAGGGCATGATATTTGATATAGGATATTTGTCGTCAGCATCAATCCATCTGCAAGAGACCATGGTGTGGCATCTTAGTTGCACCTTTGGGAATGGCTTAAGACAAAGATAGAGACACAGTCTCTGCTATACTCTCCCAGGGTGAACGTAATAGGGTGTTCTTCTTTAGCCATCCTCCTGGCATTTCTTTTTGCATTGTGGGGCATCCTTGGTCCATCCTGGTTGATAGCAAGGCATCAGTCTAAACAGTCTTAGCACAGCCCTTCCAATCACTAAGGTTGATGCTGGTCATCTTTATATCTTACTTCCACATGCCCTAGAAGCAAAGCTACTAGCATTCAGTAGGTCATGCACCTTCTTTCATTTCTTTATGCAGCATATCCTTTGGGATTTGGTCTGGTTCCATTCACTTGATCTGGCAGAGCCTACAAGTGCATCACTGCATATAATGGAGAACATGAACCTGTTGACATATTCCTGCACCTCTGTATTACACCACAAAATTAACATAGTGTGCAGAATGTGGTACTGTTCACATATATTGAATGTGGTCAGTGCTTCACTTCCCTAGTGTACTGAGTATGCATGTCTGGGAATGCAGAGTTTTGTCCTCTGTGAGATTAAGGTTGTTGAATCTGGCAAGAGCTTTGCCTATCCTGCCATTCAACTTCTCATCAATGGACATCTAGCTACAATAATGGATCCAATTTATGCGAACTTATCAACTACTGACAGGCTGCATCTCCTTGAGGTTTGTGCTCTTTAGCACAAACTACTTGCATTTGTAATAATATTGACTTACAAGGTAAAGTAGACTAATTGATTTTTTTCTGTGTGAATGAGAAACTTTGTCATTAAATTAGTCTTGGCTCTTGGGTGGGAGATGTTGCAGTACTTTAAGAACACTGTGAATGGTATGTGATTGGTATGTCAATGTGGAACAACATGGAGTTGATATATTTGGGCCATAAACCTTCTATTCCTTTTAAAGAATAGCCTATACTTTCTGCTCTTTAGGGAAAATAAATTGGGCTTATATTTTGATGCATCTGTGATTTTAAGAAACCAGCTCAGAATACCATCTGCAAAGTTTAGAACCACAACACTGTGGACATGTAGCAATGGGCTATGATCAAGAATCAACCAATAACTTGTTTTACAAGTAAAAAGACAACTGTAACATACCCACAATGTTTGAGAGATGGCCAGTTGCAATTCTGTCACCAGTCCAAGACCTGCCAAACATTTAAGCAAAGAAGAGATTAGTGGGTTAAAAAATTACGTTAACATACAAAATTTCTTAACTCATTTGATTATTTCTCTTAACGAATAAAGCAGAAAAATATTTCATCATATTCATATATTAAAAATTCCAAAAGCTGGGCAGCTAACCTTATCATAAAGTATTTAAATTATTAAATGGAACCTAAATGGCTTAAATGATAATTTTTGAAAATATAATATTGATATGAAAATATGAATTTGCTACATCTGACATGTGTCGTTAATTAAATATTAATATATACCTTCTTATAAGTGATACAAGACAATTAAGCTGATCAGTCAGTTTTTTATTTTCTTTCTTGTAATGGAGCAGTTCTTTTTTTATATTTTGTATATCCTTTGTGCCAATAACAGTGTCTGTTTCATTATCAGATGCTAACTTGGCTCCAGAAACATGTAGTAAAGAAGTTCCAGGAGTCATCATTTTACAAACACTGCTTTAATAATGTGTCCTAAGCTATCCGTATGAAAATTATGAATATTTGAATGGTTGAACAGTTGTTTGGAACTAACATCAAACCAGATCACAACAACATTTAGCAGTAATCATTTGGTTTTTAAAAAAAAGTCAAATTGAAGAAAATTAACATTTTTAAAAAAAAAGTTTGTTTAACACAAAATATTTAAAATTGAAAAGTTTAGGTAAGATTTAATTTAACGCTCGACTGCCTGTAGTGCCCGCTACCGCCCCCCAATTACATGCCACCGTCTGAATAATATGCTGGGCGGTGGTAGGTCAAGCCAATAGTCACACATGATGCTATTTCAGGCCACCTAAGAATTAAATTACAAAACATTCATCTGCTAAAATTTACTGTTGCACTCGCAAGTGAAGCTCTCTTTAAAAAACAAAAATCTGCATGTTTTTTTGCCTATCATTACAAAAGTTATCAGAGTTCAAAGTTCAGTATGACTTTCAACGCTCATTCGCGGCAAGTTAATAACCTGACTAGTCTAGCAAGTGTAGGTGATGAAACAATCAAAGATTGATGTAGAATTAAAAAAATTAATGTAGAAAAAAAAGAGTGATAATGTTAGAGTTGAAGATGTATCTGAAACAGGCTATAAAAATCAATACTGTTACACATTAGTAGATAATAATATTAGTAGGCTTTAGTGACCATGTTTCTGTGTATTTTTGAAAATGCAGCGATAGTTGACTTTAAATATTATAATTAAAAACTCTAAATAAACTTATTTTTTATCCTGGATATAGCATTTCATTCATTTTAAAATTTAAAAAAATAACATATATGTTTTAAAAAGGATCTATGTCATTTTGCTTAGGCAGGTGGACAAAATTTTTGTCTAAGTAAGTTAGGCAGGAGTGGGTTGATAATATTACCCTTAACTCTTAACAGACCATAACTCTGTGATGCCTCTAAGTTTTTATTATGTTTGTTAAATTGTATGTACAGCATGGTGTACCATGCTATATAAAACCACTTATAATAATAATGCCTCCCTAGTAAAAGTAGACTGAAGAATTAGACCCTTAGGCCTACTTTAAAAAACAAACAAATTAATTAAATTAGGTACTTAAATTACAGTCCACTGGCGAGATCCAGACTATCAGGGGTTTTAATCTGGCCCACATAGCCTCCATAAGCACGACCGAAAAGAAATGAAAAAAATTGAACCTTACACTTACACATTGACAATCTATTTAACCAAAAGCAGACCCATACTTCCCATTGAAATACTAATAACTTTATGTTGATTAAAATGGGTCTTCATTTTATTCTTGGTTTATTTTAAAAAAAATATAATCTATAAGCATAAGTTATGACATGAACGTATTGAAAGTTATTGTTATGGATTATGGGCAAAGGTATGTTAATAATTAATAGTAATAGTGTTAATTTTAAGGGAATACATTCTATGGGCATGGGCTTTTCTAATATTTTACTGCGTCTCTTCATTCAAATAATAATAAGCAGTTTTGTAAATTAACAAAACTTTAAAGAAAACACAAATGGTACAATTAATTTAGCGGATAACTGCATTACTTTGCTCATGTATATCACAGATTGACACCAATTCATATGGCAGCCATGTTGTTTACAATGGGTAGTAACAAAATATTTACTTAAAATGCTTAACTGGAATTGTAATACCAAAACAAAACTTCCACTTAATAAAGAATTTAATCAATATAAATAAAAATAATACAATTTTATTTATATATAATACGATAAATATATTTTACAAAAATAAAACAAAACTACTTATTTTTATTTGGTAAAATATATTGAATTTGATACGTTTAACAAAGATGATGTAATTTAATTAGGTTTTTTAAATATATCTGAAATGGAAATGTGTAATCATATTTCCAAACTGGTCGTTGCATTTACCGACATCTCCATTTTTTAAAAGAAATAATTAAACGAATGAAAAAATATCTCCTCTATTAACATTTATATAAAATGTACATTAAAAATTGATACTGACAGTTCTTAGAGGTGAATTCAAATTGAATGTTTTGATAATTTAATTACATTTTTATTGAATATACTTATTATTTTATCACCATAAGGTGAAGAGAGAAGAATTAGTAAATAGTTATTTTCCTGATAAAATTATTTAAATGAACTTGAAATTCATAGGCATAGGAAATAGTACAGAAAGATATGGGAAAGCTTGAAATTTAAAAAAAAACAGGACAGTCACATGAACGTTTCGCCTAGAATGGCTAGAAGCCTTCATTAGCAGACAACATTAATATAGCCATATGCATATATTTTAATGAATAAATGTGTAAAAATGATATAATTATTTAAATAATTAATATCAAATTTGTAAAAGAATAATTCTAAGATAAATGGAATATTTAATATTTTAAATTAGATCTGGCAAGACGTCTATTTACTATTATTTTTTACACACATGGATGAGTATATATTATATATGCTTATGTTTTTTGGTTTATTTTCATTTATCCTCTTTTATAGTCAGTTGAAAGAGTTAATAATAATATAAAATATTTTTAGAGTGTTACTTATTACTATTAGTATTATGAGCTGCTGAAGCCACCGTGATTGAATTTTACACACACAAAAATAATTTTAAAATATTTTATTTTGGAATTATCTTGAAGCCAGTTAAGATCTCGGTCAGAAGTGACACCGATCAAAACTCAGCTTTCACAGAAAATTCAAAAAGTTGTTATTTTTTCATTTTTTCATTTCGCAACAGTTTCTTTACTTGTACATTAATAATTGAAAATGTCGTACGGGTATGGTCAGCAAGGAGGCTATGGTTATGGACAACAACAAGCTCATCCAGGACATCCAGCTCCTGGAATAGATCAAAATTGGCTCTCTGGAATTTTTCAGAGGTAAGATTAAGGGTAATCTAGAAGTGATGTTAATCGTTAATGGAAATGGCCTGATCGTGAAATGTTGCAGTTACTGAGTTAGTAAGAAACACTTGAATTTGAAACAGTGAGTTGAATCTTCTCCTGGGTCCTAGTCTGAATCTTGTTGATTCGAATTGAGGTAGCACATTTTCATTTATTGATTCTTTGTTGGAGGTTTGACCATTTTATTTCCTTATTATAAAGGCCTATTTATATATGTCTATGTTACACACTTTACACAGCATGTAGTAAAGTTTAGTAATAAGAAGACCTATGTTACATCATCATAATTCATAAACTACTATAATTCATGAATAACCTAACTAGCCTATTCATTGATTAAAAAAATACATACAAAATTTCTAGCCTGCCTTCGAGAATCAAGAACCATCTAATTTATTAATTAGCCTAGAACTATTCTAGACCAACTGCAAAACATCCTTTTTTTTGTATTATCATGTGACATTTTAATGATTTTATCATATGTCAATGATCATGAGTGTATTGTCACATTGATAAGCATTGAGAGTCATTGATTGATAGAGCCTACTCATTGTGTCATCTTTTCAAATTATTAAAATTAAAGGCTATTTAACAAATAGGCCTAACTACTATTTATGATTTGATATTTAAAAATAACATAAACAAATAGCCTACTTAAACATTTCAGGTGTAATTAACATTAACAGATGTCTTATCTCTATGACTATGGTCTGCGCTTTGCCAGATTTCCCCTAATGTTGACTAGACTGTTTTATTTAATTATAATTTTATCAAAATTAAAAGGATACCGACACTGACTGTAGCACTAGTACTAAGTCTGAGTAATATAGTCACTATCAATTATTTCATTTTAAAGCTATGGTTGTACGAGTTACACAAATATGGCGGAGTTCAATTTGATATGCCGTGGGCTTAGCTTGATTTGCTCCACCAATTCCATGTTGATAAAGGGTTGATATCTTAAATTGTGAGTCTTAGAACTAGGTCATAAGTGGCTGAGAAGCGGTTTGACTTTGAAATTATGCTGCAGTTTCACATGGTTGGTTGCATCTGCATGAAACTGAAGCATGTTAAACCTGAGTGAAATTCTTGCTGGTCAGCCTGGTGTTTTAATGATACACCAAAACCTGGAAATAAAGAACATTGAAATAGCACAGACCTGTCATATGCGCTAACTCACCCTGGCTTGGAACGATTTTTTAACTCTAGCTGAACCTGCAAATAGCACCACTTTCGAGGGGTTTGCATTATTTCCAGGGTTCACTGTATGAACATGCCTGGATAAGATTTTTTAAAATAAAAATGTTTATGTCAACAAAGATTTGGTACTATTTATACATCATGAAAACTGACAACTTCAATCACAAAAACGTAATTTGTCCTTTTTTCTGCCCTTGAACCTGATGCCGAAAACATAGCACTTTTAGGGAAAAGTAGTGAAGATATGTCAAAAACTTTTATTAAATTAGAAGACACATCACTACAAGCAGGGCTGGAGGTTAGCAACTAAAAAACAATATACATGACTATGTTAAGAGAAGTATGGACAGATAAAAACTATTAAACTTAGAAACCACACTTTTGAAAAAGTAAATTATTTCAGATACTAAAATCCTAAAGAAATGAATTACTAACAGAAATAAAAGAAATATTATTGGCCTGGAAACAGGGCATGCTTCAGTAGTCACAAAATAATCAAAATTAAAAAACATTACAAGAAAAGCTAAGAATAAAACTGTAGTTAGACCAGTTGTAATATATGCCAGTAAAACTCTGACCCTTACAAAAATGGCAGAAAACCTATGAAATATATGTGAGAGAAAATTTCTCCGGAAAATAAAAACGGACCAACAAAGAATAAATATGGATGGAGAATACAAACCAACCAGGAATTGTATAGACTATATCAGGATCCCATGCTTGTAGCGGAAATAAATACGGCAGGCTACACTGAGTGGGGCTTTTAGAAAGAATGACAGAGGAGTGAAGAGGGTGCACCACAAAAATCCCAGAGGAAAACGGCTCAAAGGCAGACCTTGGTTTAGATGGATGAACTATGCGGACAAAGTTTTACAGCAGCTGGGAATCCAAGCATGGAAAAGAAAAACATCAGTTAGGTCTCTGTGGAAAGAAGTGTTGAGGCAGGCCAAAGCCCTTCATGGGCTGTAGTGCCACAGGGATGGATGAAACCTTAAGTTGTTGTAAATGTAGATTTTTATTTTACTATACTTAATGTGGATGGAATTTTATAAAATGTATTATCTTTCTCTTGAGGTTTTTTTGGGGCATTGTGATTGTTCCTACAATTTTTTTTTTACGATGCAAAAATATTTGAATTCTCTTAGTGTTGACAAGGACAGAAGTGGGCATATTTCTGCTGTTGAACTCCAACAAGCTTTGGGGAATGGTAAGAAAAGGGAACATTCTCATTATCTGTCTGTGTATAAAATTCCAAATCTGTTCTCAATATCATTTACCCCATCACATTGGAATTTTTTAGCAATAAATTTTAAAGCTCTTCTGCTGTGCTGCATTTTCCCGGTGCACAGAATGTATTCTAAGAAAGCCAGGTTGATTTACATTTTGGATATGTTAAAAAAAATCATTTGTACTCCATGCTAAATAACTGTTTATCTACTAACTGTAAATCTTATATGTACTAACTGTAAATCTTATAGTTTTTCAAACGTGAAAACCTCTTCAAAGGTTGATGTACAAGTCTTTCACCCTTCCCACCAATACCATCAAAAATATATTCATACCTGGAAGGATATCATAAAAGACAAGTTATTTGGACTTTATGGCTTATTTAACATTTAACTGTAGAGCAAGAAAGTAAGATTTTGGCTTTAACATTTCAAAACTTACCGCTTCAAGCTTTTTAGATTGTTTGGTTATTGAGAGCAGAGTTGGTAATTGAACCTTTAAAAAAAAAACATGGCAAGACATTCAATTCAGCTCCATTTTCAGTTTATCTGAATCTTTTTCAAGTCTAGATGAAAAGAAAGGGTAGTTTATTTCATCAGTAATGTGATCAGAGCATATGAACTGTTCAGTCTTGGCCACGTTTGTTTTTTTTTTTACCCAACAAGCCCAAAATATAGCCTAGATTCTTCATTTGTATATTGCTTTGGGATTTTATTTTCTGACTCATTATTCATGTTGTTTGTCAAAAACCCTTGTGCCTTTGGATAAATGTTAGTAGAAGTCCACTTACACTGATGACAGGCTGGCTATTGGGCTTGATGGAAATAGTAAAGAAAAACCTCCAAGATTGTTAGTGGTCACTTTGACATATATTGCTTTCTCAGGATTGACACAGATCGCAGTGGTTCAATATCTGCCAATGAATTACAAAGGGCTTTATCTAATGGTAAGCAAGTGTGACTTTTAAAGTTAACAAACTGTTGAGCTAATATTCTTTAAATTAACAAACTTACAAGGCACAAGGGTAATTGTAGACATTTATAAGTTTGTCTTGCTGTGTTGATTTTTTAATTATGATTTTCATCATCCATTTTTGGTTATTTTCTTTTAAAAAATAAGAACAGCTTTAAGTTTGAGTGTCAGTTTTGGGTCATAATTTTTCAAAAACCTTTGAGTTATTCTTTCAGTTAAAAAGTTTTAGGGTTCATTGGATAATGTGTAGATTTCTTTCATTTTATTTAATCTAATGTAAATTTTATTTTTCAATATTAAGAAACATATTTCATTAAAATTAAACCATGCTTAAATTGCTTGAACTAAGACAAAATATAGTATAACTCTGCAGCTAACGGTAAAAAATATATATGTTATTAGGTACAGGTTCTTTTAAAATTACATTAATATTTGGTGTGCATCATTGCAGAAGTATTCTATCTTTTCAATATTTCTATGACAGGCACCTGGACACCATTTAATCCTGAAACTGTCAGATTGATGATAGGTAGGATTTTTTACTCAGAATTGTGTACATTTTATGTGTTAAACTAGTCATGTGTTTTATCTAACTTTTATTAGTGGATCAACTCAGAATAATAAAAGTCATTGTTCTCTTTTTGTAGTAAACATGGATAAGAAAATAGACTGGCTTAAAATGCTGACTGTTTTTCATTTAAAAAAAAAAAAAGAATCAGTTAATTTCAAATAAACATTCATTTTAATTTGTATTATTAAAATTGTAATTATCTCACATTTTCACATACGTTTCAAAGTTCTGGTGTGTGGGTGACAATGTTGAATATTTTGCATCTGATTTTTACAGGTATGTTTGACAGGGACAACTCTGGTTCCATCAACTTCCAAGAGTTCACATCACTTTGGAAGTATGTTACAGATTGGCAAAACACATTCAGATCCTTTGACAGGGACAACTCAGGGAGCATAGACAAAAATGAGCTGAAGACAGCACTCACCAGCTTTGGTATGTACTTCCTTTAACAGATCATGTTGGCTTTAAAGTTTTTACAGTATGAAGAGAAAAAAAATGCCTATGAAGACGAAATGACATTTTCTAGGTTTTTACATTGGGATAACTAATACAATCTGTTGTTCACTGACAGTTTAAATTTAAAATATTGTATTAACCAAAAGCCATGAGCTCATTCAGCTCATTCAAAATAAATGAGCTCCTGTGACCTATGAAGAATGGAGAGTCAAAAAGAGCAGTTTTTGGATTAGAATAAAAATGTTTGTCATGTTACATACAGTTTAATTTTATTTAATATAGTCATGATTGGCAACTCCTTCAAACATAGTTGACTGGTATTTAATATAAATATATTAGTATGCAATCTCAAATGTTAAGCCAACAAGAAGTACAGCAACAAATAAAATGTTGTTGATCTTACTTAGGAGTAGGAGTGTTAGATAAATGTTGGTTATGAAAAATAAGTTATTTTTATTTTTCAGAAAGGATTAGTATAATATATTGCTCATATTTGTTCTTAATAATTTTAGCTATTTTTTTCGTATTATTATTTTAGTACTAGTTATAGCCCACCTAACATTGGCGAGGCAATTCGTGAACTTTCCTTTGACTTAAATTACTTGAAAAAACATACATTCAAGTAATGCTCTTCATACGAGTCACTATTAGGGCTCATTCCCCCTCTCTCCTCAAGCCGCCCACTTGTTCACGCCCCTGAACTTTATTAATATTCTAATGTCCCAACTCCTGCAGATTAATTTAATCATATTTAAATTAACACTATTAAATCAAAATAAAATATTACACACCAAATGCACTTGCAGTATTTTTAAGAATCTCATTTGGGCAGTTATCAGGAATTTTATTTTGCTATGCTATTGAACTCAATATTACTCCATATTTTCTTTCATACATAGAGAATTGTATGGATCAATTAGTTACAATGCAGATCAATGACAATAAATTGGGGGAGGGGGGGGGGGAGACTTGAAGTATCATGGACCAAAAAAGGAAAATATAATATTATGATATTTTAAAATATTGTAATTCATCGTTGCGCAACAAATACATTTTTAAAAACTTATTTTAAACTCCATATTTTCTTTCATACATAGAGAATTGTATGGATCAATTAGTTACAATGCAGATCAATGACAATAAATTGGGGGAAGGGGGGGGGGAGACTTGAAGTATCATGGACCAAAAAAGGAAAATATAATATTATGATATTTTAAAATATTGTAATTCATCGTTGCGCAACAAATACATTTTTAAAAACTTATTTTAAGACTGTGGTGTCTCAACTTCTTACACATACAATTGTAAATGTAATTAACTGATATTGAATTGTTATTTGTTTCTTCAGGATATCGTTTATCTGAGCAATTTTTTGACATCTTGATCCGTAAATTTGATCGTCAAGGAAGAGGCACTGTGGCTTTTGACGACTTTGTCCAGTGTGCTGTTGTGCTTCAGGTTTGTAATTAATTTACAATACAGTAATATTCTGAACAAAAATAACGATCTTTTGGCAAAAGGTTTTACCTGTCAGAAATTCTGATGTTTACTATGATATCTGTTTTTTTTATCATGACCCAGTAGAAACATTATTTATCATGACCCAGTAGAAAGATTATTTATCATGACCCAGAAGAAACATTTTTTATCATGACCCAGTAGAAACATTTTTTATCATGACCCAGTAGAAACATTATTAATCATGACCCAGTAGAAACATTTTTTATCATGATCCAGTAGAAACATTATTTATCATGACCCACTAGAAACATTTTTATCATGACCCAGTAGAAACATTTTTTATCATGACCCAGTAGAAACATTTTTTATCACTTTTCATCATGGGGCTTCTTCATAGTTAAACTTTACTTTGTATCAGAGTAAGAACCCAATGAAAATAATTTTTTTTCGTAGACATTACAGAGGCTTGTCAAAATAGTGTGTTTAGTGATGATAGTAGCTAAAAGTTGTATGCAGAGTTTGAGGTACTCATGATATAGTGATCACTCTTACACTCTTTGTATCAATCAAATCATCTAAATTGATGCACAGATGAGTGGTTAAATTATTTCTATTGTTCATGTTTCATAGTCACATGTACAGAATTTTTGGAATATTCTGAAAAATATTAAATATTGCTTATCTGACAAAATCCAATTCAATGTTCTGTTAAATAAGAGAAATCGACTGTTTAAATTAAAATAAAAAGATTTGTAGACAGTTTCAATTAAATAACAAGATATATAGACTGTTTGAATTAAATAACAAGATATATAGACTGTTTGAATTAAATAACAAGATATATAGACTGTTTGAATTAAATAACAAGATATATAGACTGTTTGAATTAAATAACAAGATATATAGACTGTTTGAATTAAATAACAAGATATATAGACTGTTTGAATTAAATAACAAGATATATAGACTGTTTGAATTAAATAACAAGATATATAGACTGTTTGAATTAAATAACAAGATATATAGACTGTTTGAATTAAATAACATGATATATAGACCGTTTCAATTAAATTAAAAGATTTGTAGAAGTGTCTCTTATTAAAAAAAAGTAAACTTTTAAAAAACTTCATCAATCATGTATTCACTTTGCATCTAAAGACTGCATCAGTCATGGATTCACATTGCCTAAGACTTCAAAGGCACATTTCTTTTTGTTTTTTCTTCAGACTTTAACAAGTTCATTTAGAGCTTTTGACACGGATCAGGATGGCTGGATCCAGATCTCATATGAGCAGTTCTTAACTCTGGTCTTCAGCCTACGGAGCTAATGCAACTGTGAGGACATGAAGAGTGCTTTTTTTTTTAAACACTTGTAAAACTGTTCTTTGAATGCTCATACAATTATTGACTTATTTGAACTTATATATATATATATATATTCATTGTTTGTTGAATGTAACTTTGTCCCCTTTCTAGTAAAAATGAATTAATATGTTTACAATAACAATAGTTGCCCTTTCAAAAATATTTTGGTTAACTTGAACAAGCATTGTTTTGTGTTGATTAATTGATCACATAATTTTGAAGCAGTAGGTCAATAATGTTTTCTTAGTAGCAGCCAGTACTTACAAAGATTGTTTTCTTCAGTATGAAACAGCTGCTTATTTTGTTACAGAATGCAATAACCTTTTTTTTTCCCCAGCAGTTCATTGTTGTAAAAGTAATTTTTAGAACTTAACACATTGATAGTTTTGACAAATTGCTAAAATAAAATCTATAATCATAGTATTGACTGTTGATGTCTTATTAATTGTGAAAGAAGACTGGACACTTTTCCTGGGAAACAGTCTCTTTTCAAACCTTTTATTGAATTTGACATAAATGCTGTTTGAACTTCCTCAAATTCATTTTTACCAACTTCATTATGACTTGGAGAGCTAAAAAAAAATGTTTACACAGCTTAGGCTGTCAAGTTGTTGTGAATCCTTGTTTTTCATTTCCTGAAATATTTGTAGTTGAAATGCTGAAGTGAAAGTATAACCCATGGCAAACTAACTGTCTTGCAAATTTAGTTTAATAACTTGAGCACATGTTCCTGCCAGTTGCTTCATAAGCCAGTAGATTGTACCGCAGATATTAAGGAAGTAGGGGTTTATAACCTAGATTCCCAATCAGTCCAAACATTTTCTAACAATTTTTCTTACTACCGGGTATTAATTACAGTGGATAGTTTTATAAAGTTTCCTTAATTTATCAACAATGCACTTATGAAGAGGAGAAAAAGTGTTTCATCTGCGTCATTTTCTTGTTATGTCCAGCCATGCTAAGATTTCTGCTTTTAACTCTTGGAAAATTTTTCTACAGCAGAAAGGCTTTGGGCAAAACATTTTATGTTTGCTTCTTTTGAGATCAGTGAAAGAAATAATTATATTGTTGGAGTACTCTAAATACTTTCAATAAATTTTTGTACAACTGAGGTTAAGTCCCCCTTTTTTTTGTATAGAAGCTGTCGGACTGATTTTGATAATGTTTGAATTTTTTAAAAAGACTGACATTTAAACATTAACCACTCGTGAATATATTAACAGAAGGTAACAAAGTTTATTCAGGAAATAATTTTAATAATGGGCCTTGTCTTTGCTCATATAATTGAACTCAAGATACCATATAAACAAGTTTTTATAGTTTGAATAGCTTCTACACAACTTCTGAATAAAAGGCCAAGTAGACTTTTATACATTTTTTAATTATTACATTTCCTTTAGAGTTATTTTAGATAACAATCATTCTACTATTATTTTGAAATGCACTATTTAGAAAAAATATAAATAAATTACTATGTCAATGTATTTCAAAGTATTTATAATAATAAGGAACATATTTTACTAAGAAAATATTAAACTTTTGGGCTTGTGCATTTCTTGTAGGTTGTGATTATGGATATATAATAGTTCTAAAAAATAGTTCCTAAAGCACTCCACAACGTTGTAAATGTATTATTACATTTCTTTTCCTTAATAATTTTTTTGTTGTTGAAATTATTGTCCATTATCTTTATATATATTTAATATGAATTTTTTTTTTTTTTTTTTTTAAGTGAATGAGTTTTGTAACATTTTTTAAAAGAGCCTAGAGAATAATATTTATAGTTTTTTCAATTATTTCTGAAAATGCACCAAAGGAAATTTTTTTTTTTATTTATTTTTTTGTTTTTGTTTTTTTTGTTTTTTTTTTTTATATATATTTAATTTTAATTTTTTTTTTTTTTTTGTAAGTGAATGAGTTTTGTAACATTTTTTAAAAGAGCCTAGAGAATAATATTTATAGATTTCTCAATTATATCTGAAAATGCACCAAAGGAAATGTATTGTAATTCATTTATATAGTAAGAAACCTTTATGATTCACACTGAGATCAACAAAATAAGACTTGGTAAACAAACTGCAAAATGTTTATTTGTCTAAAGAACACAGCAAGGTGGAGAAAATATGCTGTACAAAAAACATTTTGTATGAAGATAAAAGTATAAGATGAAAACCACCTAAAGCACTTGTTTGTAATTTTGCGTTAAATGCAATTCTTTTTGAAATTTGGTTGTCTTAAGCAATCAATTCTGAGGATAAGAATGTTTCATCAGTCATTACCAGGCTGCATTCATATATAATTGAGATTTATCATGATTTTTGTTGGTGTAACATCCACAAAACTTAATTTAAACATCACAGTATAAGAAGGCAGTCAATGTTTGCCAAACGATCAGTGAATTTTTGTATTGTTTATCTTGTTCCCTTTCCTTCTCTTCAAAAGCATTTTATGATAAATACTTAGATATGTTTTTGCACAGGATCCATAGATTATTGTCATTCATTTTAAATATTTTTTTAGTTCTAATTATTCAAGCTTTGCTGAATCAATTCATTTGATGTGTTTACATTTCAGTTATTATTCCCATTCTGTCAGATCAATAAATCAATTATTTCAGCTTGCACAAAAATATTAATTAGCTTTTGAATGCAATAAAAGCTTTTTTTTTTTTTAAATAAAAAGAAATAAGCAAGTCTTGCATCTTTTGTCAAAATCTATTATGAAGAGATAATATCACAAACAAGACTCCTTTGTCTTGGGTTTTTAGTCTGAGATCCAGGTTTTAATATTCAGCTCTTGGTCAGATCATTTAATTCTTGGAACTGTCGGTCAACTGTCATAGACATTGCTTCCACATAGTTCTCCAAAGTCACGGGACTACCCTTAAAAAAAAAAAGTAAGAATAGTTTGGGTTTATCAGCTTTGACATGCATTGTTGAAGTTGTATGATTAAATAACAACTTCATCAAACAGCCACCATATTTATGATTAGAATACAATTGGAGACCCTACATTTTAAAAGTACTTAAGTCACATTTTTGTCACAACCAATCTAAACAGTGACCCTTTCTTATATGGTTTAGCCAAGTGTACTGCATAAATTTGAACACATTAAAATGTAATAAAGTCCCTTATTTAAACAAACCAAAAATAAAAATAATCACATTTTATACACTAAAAGAATATTTGAACTTGATTATCTCAAAATGGGTGTTTTTTTTTAACTTCAGTAGGTACTTAAAGCACCAAGGTCTTCAATTGCTCTATCCAAAGAATTTTACTTGAAAAATCTGATCAAACTCTTCTCTGATGTGGGATTAATAAAAATAAACATGAAACCTTTAAAAACCATTTCTCTATTTACCTGTAAGTACAGAGCATGTGCTAGGAAGGGGAGTTTTCTTAAAGTTCTGCCACTCAATCCATGACTTTTACTGAAGAAGAAAAAAATAATATGGAAGTCTCAGAAATAGTTGAAATTTTAATGTTTTTATTTTTAAAACTCTAAGTGAGACACAAAACTGTAGGCAAGCATTGGGCAGCTCTTAGGAATTTACGTAACAAAAGTGTTAAATTAACTTAAATAATACACACTCAAGATTCATCGTAAACAAACCTGCAAAGACGAAATTCAATTCTTAAATTTAAAAATAAGATCAATTCCCAGATCAGTTTACCCTCAAACTCTTAAAATCGTAAAATATAATAAAAAAATTGTTCAATGCAGTATCTTAATAGTAAAAAAAAAAAAATAAACATACGGTATATATAATGTATAACCCCAAATTCGAACATTGTACGCCAAAATTGTTAGAGTAAACTTTAAACAGGTCTGTATTCCTGTTCACTTGCAAATACCATTTAAAATTATATATAAAGGTTATGGTTATTTCCAAAGTGTTTGACAACTAATCCAATTTATCTAACTTTACACCAAAAACAATTAAACAAAAAAAAGGAATTTCTTTATTAAACAAATGGGATAATTCAATTGTATTTGACTCACAGGAAGAAACATTATTTCATTATTTTTAGATTAAACTTAAACCCACCTTGCTACATTGTACAATTTAAGGCTTTGAATTGTTGCTCCATTTTCCATGAATCTAGTAACCTCTAGAGCTCGTATGTCTATCAGTTGGTGGGTGGGACTAATGACACCACACTAAAGAATGGTGACAATAATTTATTATTGAAAATATAGTACTGTATAAATATTTCTCAAAAGGGACAAATGATATGACAATGGTGATTAAAAATGAAAATGCTTAACGTATAACCAATTATAATTCTATATTTTTAAACATAGAAATTTTTAATGGTAAAAAAAAAAAAAAATATACAATATTTTTTTAACAGTTTATACAATCTATGAAAATGTAAGGATATCATAAACTATATTTCTAAAAAATTTTAGCCTCTAACCTTCATTAGTTCTTTAATACAGGACAGATAAATTGTGTAAATAGCTCGTACAGATGGTGGACCAATAAATTGCTTGATGTCAGCTCTGTCCACAAAAGCCAAATCTATTGCACCAGTGATGTTGGAAGTTGTTAAAATAAGAACATTGGGATATCTGGAGGGAAGCAAAAATACAGTATTTTTAGAATTAGAAGTAGATTAAAACTAAGACTAAACACAGGCCTCCATGTTCTGAATATTTTTGTTTAAAACAAATGTTTTCATTAGATCAAGGTTCCTGTTGTTATCGCATCGTAATGTTTTTAATTTAACAACCTCTAAAAACAAAGTTTTTCATATAAATAATTTATAAAATTTAATGTTGAGCAATGAGGGGTAGGGCTGAAAATTTGACAAATTATTCATATAAGTAATGGACTTTATAAGAATCCCAGTTAGTGCTCACCCGATGTCCCCCAATGGCTCGCAACAGCACATTTTATTAATATTCTAATGACCCACCCGCTTTTACACAGCAGATTTATGATTTATTTCACCAACTATTTCAGAAAAACAAAAGAAAACACCAAAATACACTTATAATATTTAAAAAAAAAAAAAAAGAATCTCATTTAGCACAATTATCAGGATATTTCCTTCATAGCTCTTGAGAAACAGGAAAAACTGATTTTTTGAGGGTGGGGCTGAAAATTTGATAGAATGTGTTGTCATCCGCAACAAGTCTATGTGATGATGATGAATGAACAATTTTATAGCGCTTGTATTCATGCTATTTTGTGCCAAGTTTCAGCTTGATAGGTTGATGGGATGTGGGTCACTTATCCGTCTGAAGATTTTGCCAGCCGCGAACAAAAGCAATGTTAATATAAAGGAATTTTTTTTAAATAGCAGCGTGTGCATGAGATTAAAAGGTAGAATTTATTGCACTGGTAATGACGTGATCTAATAGCATGTGAACCTAAATACAATTTAAACATTCTGTGACTGAAAGGGTTCATCAATATAATGCAGCCTCAGTAACACCGTTCACAAATTTTTGAACAATAAAATGACCACGTTTCATGGTGAAAATGTAGAATTAGGTCATGGTTAAAATGTAGACAGCAACCAACCTTTTGATTTGATCAAGTTGAGTTAACAATGCATTCACCACTCTAATGGCATCAGAAGGTTCCACACCATTCATAGAGCTTTTCCTTGCAGCTGTTAAACTTTCAACCTGGAATCAGTGGTAACCAAAACTGTGACATAAAATATATACCACCCATTTATTCACCCTAAAAGACAGTAGTACCCATATATTTAACAACACAGGGTAGAAGTAGACAGCTGAAATGGCCATACAGAATTTCTAAATTCAGCCTTTTGGGGATATTCAATTTATCTTTATCCACCAGCAGATAATGAAGTACTTCAGATGGAAATTTCCCCACTGCTCATTTACAACCCATGCTAGCCCACTGATATTCAGAATAGGGGCATGCAAATCCTGAAGATACTGATAGCCAACACAGACGTTACAAACTGGAATGAAATCAAAATCATAACTTTAAAGGGAACATAAAATAGAATAATTATTCTTTTTGTCCCTTTCAAATCTTATTAGCCACAATTGGAAAATGCAACAATGTTGTTTTTTTTTTTAATGCGCACGAATGAAACTGATGCTGTAAAAAAATGAAATAAAAATGTTATCAAAGTTAAGGTTGAATTACATTGTGCTTAAAACAAAGAGCCCTAGAACATTTGAAGGCCATTTATTACCTCATCAATCAACACGCACACCAGAGCTTCTGGGTCTTCCATCAATTCTTGAATCTTTTGGAACATCTTCATCACCAGCTTACCACTCTAAGAAAAAGAAAGTTAACAGGTGTCAGCATCAACACTAATAAGTCACAAATGGTTCAATATGGAAAAATTCTGAAAAAATATTTATAAACATAAATACTCAATTAAAATTATTGTAATATTTATTCTCATCTGAAATAAATAAGTGCCATTTGGTGGCCTAGACTTCTTACAGCTGAAATGGTGCAAAAGCATATTTAAAAGTGCCAATAATTAATGTGAAGATCCTCCATTTAATTACTTTTACTCCTGCTTTAAACTGTATTATTGTTTGTCCTAACAGTGTGTTCCAATATTATTGTAAATCTCTTTACATTAGTAATTTCCTCTCAAAGTTTCACTACCTCAGAAAACCACTTTGAGAAAAGACTGTGACTGTTGATCTCCACAAGCTGGCCATGTGAATATCTATCTGAGAATCGTATACACAGCTTTTGGGCCAGGGCTTTACACAATGATGTTTTGCCTGTGCCTGGCGGACCTTTGAAAAGACAAATGACATTTTAAACATCACTTTTTATTTGTGACAGTATTAAAAATTTGGGGTAAAATTTGACAATCATAACCTATCCAGTAAAAATTAATATTACAAATTATAATATCTTAAAATTAATAATTATTTTACTTTCAATACATATTGGGATTATTATGTGTATGAATGCCGAGACATTCACTTTTGATTATGTAAATGAGTGTGGTCCAAGTCAACTTAGATCGGAGTAATAAATTTACATTAATACTATTCATGACAATGACAGAGATTGCTTTAGTTTACACTTTGTTGAATTACTTCAAAGATACATTTCTATAGTAATATCAGTAGACATTTGTTAAAAAATGACTGGATTTAAATTTTGTCCTCATTCCTGACTGAAGCATTATATTTAGCAAATTTTATAGAAATGTTTTTACCATGAAGTAAAACCACTTTGTTCCAAGTGATGATATTGCTGTCCACCAATTTATCAGAGAACATCAAGGTTGTTGTGGCATAATTCAACAGCTGGATATAAAATAAAACATGGAATTTAATTGGTGCACCCTTGGCAGATTAAAATGTTTATTCGGCGAAGGATGCAATTTTAAAAAATCATGACTTGACTTGTAGCAAGTAAGTAATCCCCTCTTTATCTTCAAATGTAAACCAGAAATCAACAGAAGCCTCATTTATCTGCCACCACAGTCCCAGTATAATATGATATTTAAAAAATATATGTATTTAAAGATATCCTCCTAATGGTATTAAAAAAAGGTTTTAAACTTTATAATTGAATAATTTTGCATACTTCTAAAGGTTTTTTTTCTCTTCTTCTTACAGTATGTTGTTTGAGTAAAAAAATGTTAAAATGTAAAATCATTTTCTCACTTCAATCATAATTGTAAGAAATCATTTTCAAGAACTGTTTATAAAATATGAATCTCCATTCACTTCTGAACAATTAAATACATAACAACATTAACCACTCTTTTTATGGTATTCCATTATGTGAGATGACCTAAGGAAAAATTTAAAAAAAATAATATTTAAAAAAAAACCCATGAACTGCAAAGAGTTAAAGGGTTGTGTGTGTGTGTGTGATTTCAGGGGTCTGCTGCCACAGAGCCGTGACTTGAGCAACTCAAGTGAGGGGGAGGTTGTGGTGGCGAGGGGGAGGTTGTTCCACTCAGAGATTGTCCAAGGGAAGAATGAATGGAACAGGGCAGGGTGGAAATCATGATCTTGATGAATCCATGTTCTTTCATCAGAGGGTTTGCAGAATTCACTTTTGTTGATCTCAGTCATGCTGCTATTGTTGATCTCAGTCATGCTGTTATTGTTGATCTCAGTCATGCTGTTATTGTTGATCACAGTCATGCTGTTATTGATCTTGTACAACATCCCCAGTCTGTTTGTTCTCCTTTTCTTCTAGGCTGGTCCATCCAAATTTGTTGAGCCTGCGCGTCACTGAGCCACTCTCTCCATGTCTATAGTTGAAGACTTATCTCAAAGCACGTCTCCAAACAGCCTCTAGGAGAGTTTTGTCCTTGTGTTCCTGTTGTTTTGATACAGTTGAGGCATATTCAAGGGTGGGACGGACCATGAAGTTGTGGGATGCCGCTTTCCCTTTCGGTATAGATTCCCTGAAATTCCTTCACAAGAAACCAACTGTGATGTTTCCTTTTGCAGTTACGTGATGAATATAAGATAAGATTTTTTTGGATCCAAACAAATGGAAATATTTTATGATTGCATTGTACATTTTCAGCACATAAATAAAACAATTTCAACACAAGACATTTATATAATAAAATTATTTCACTAGTACTAGTAATAATTTTTTTTTTTTTAAATCCCTGCCATTCAGTGTGTTCTCTAAGCCGATATCAGGGACTTATTGGTGCTTTTTAAGATTTGTGACTTCAGGGGGAGCACACTGGTAAATTCATACAGATCGGGGAAAAAAAGAAATTTTGTATCTTTCAGTCCTCGCCGTGACGGAAAGAATTCGTCCCAAACGGGCCGATCCTAAGTATCTGTGATGAAGGGGGTGGGATGTATCATCCAAAATGTGTTTAGTTTTACAATAACATCTTTCTTCAAATAGTTCTTCAAGTGAAGAATGTTTAGTTTGTGTTATGTTCCTAGCTTTCTTGATTAGTCAGTTTATGCGGTGTTTAATATCAGACGTTGAATTCCCACACCAGCAGGTAATACTGAAATTAAGCAGGCTTCCAATTGTTGCACTGTAGAATAAGTTAACGACTTGTTTGTTTATGCCGAAATTTACAGTTTTTTGAGGTAGAACAGTCTTTGGTTGAATTTCTTATACAGCATTTGGCCATGCTCATGCCATGTTAGCTTATTATTAATGGTGACACCTAAGTAACTTTCTCTACACTTTGATTTTTTATGTTGAGATCTTTAATCTGGTGTTTCCCCCCTCCTGAAATCTACAACAATTTCCTTTGTTTTTGAGAAATTCAACTGGAGATAATTTTTATCGCACCAATTGTTAAAGCTTGTAACTAAGTTGCGGTATAAGCCTTCTCCTTCAGATATTAAGCCAACGATGGTAGTATCATCAGCAAATTTTAAGATTGGAACAGTGTCGCTTGGGCTTTGAATATCATTGGTATATATTGTATACGGTAAAGGGGAGAGAACGCCTCCATGTAAGGTTGTCGGTGAATGTTACTCCCAAGTACTTGCTTTCAGGTGTTGTTACGAGTTTGGAGATGATAACTGGATGGTAGAGGTTCCTTCTTCTTTGTAGATCGGATGTGGATGACTACACATTTGCTAAGATTGAATTCCATCTACCAATTACGCTCCCAATTCTCTAGTGCTGCCAGATCTTCTTGTAGGAGGGCCTGGTCTTCTTGATGCTTAACTCTTCTGTAAAGTAAACTGTTGTCTGCAAAAAATTCTACACTAGAGAGAATTTTACACGGCCTCTGGGAGATCATTGATATATAAGAGGAATAGAAGAGGGCCTAACACTGTGCCACTCCGAAAGTAACTTAAGCTGGTGTTAAATGAACTTCTTCGTTTACTACCCATTGTGTTCTCTCCGACAGGAAGCTTCCAATTCAATCCAGTGTTGAACCTTTGACTCCATAAAAGTGAAGCTTGTGCTGCAGTAGCTGGTGAGGAACCTTGTCAAATTCTTTGGAGAAGTCCTGTAAGACAGCATCTACTTGATCTCCCTTGGCAAGGTTTTGTGCGATAGCACGCACCGTCACTAAGAATTGAATTTCCAAGAAGCGATTTTACAGAAGCCATGTAGTCTGTAGAAAACCAGTGAGGTTTTCGTGCCTTTCAAGGTGTCTCATAACTGTGCTATGGATATGTTCCAGGATCTTGAAGGTTATCAATGTCAGGGAAAAAGGGAGGTAATTTGCAGGTTGGTGTTTGTCGCTTTTCTTAGGATTGTGACAGTTAGGGTCCTTCCAGTCCTGTGGTACACTTCCCTGACCAAGCGACATTTGGAACAATTTTTTAAGGATTGGGGCAAGTTCCCTTGCTTTGATCTTCAATAGGAACTCGAGATTTAGTCTGGTCCAGTGGCCTTGTGAGGACTCAGTTTATTCAGTAGGTGTTTAAAAACTCCTGATTCTGAGATGGCTATGTTGTCCATTATATATCGGCATCCTTCAGTCTCGTGAGACGATGGTGCATCACCGTTGGGTTGGGTTGCATTTTCTCGAGTGGCTGTGCAGTCCTATCCTTGAGTGACAGTCTTTACCACAGTTTTTACACACGAGTTCCGTGCTTCTAAATGTTTTGGCCTTTCTCCTAGCTCTTCTGTCTGCAGCCTCTTCCATTCTTCGCTCCTTGGCTACCATGACGCCCTCTTTGACAACTGTGCGCCACGTAGATCGGTCCTTTGCCTTACACTCCCAGTCACTTGTATGTATTTTGGCTGCTTTCATGTCCCTTTGACAGACATCTTTAAATCGCAGACGTGGGCGACCTGTTTTCCTCTTTCCCGAAGCAAGTTCACCATATAGGAGGTCTTTCGGAATGCGGCCGGGACTCATTCTTTTAACATGACCTAGCCACCTCAGGCGTCTTTCACTAAGGATTGTGAACATGCTTTGGGTATTCGCACGCATTAGGACCTCACTATTAGTCACTTTTTCTTGCCATTTAATACCAAGGATGCGACGCAGGCATCTCATATGGAAGCTATTAAGCTTGCGCTCTTGGGATGTATAGGTGGTCCATGTCTCGCTCCCGTATAGTAGTGTACTGATGACACAAGCTCGATAGACGCACAGTTTGGTTTTCTCCGTTAGCTTGGTGTTTTGCCAGACCCGTTTATTTAGTTTAGCCATTGTGGCAGCTGCCTTGCCGATTCTGCTGTTAATTTCTTCTTCAATGGACAGTGTATTGGAGACCTTGGACCCCAAGTAGGTGAAGCTGTCCACAACCTCCAAGTTTTCATTATCGATTTTTATGTTAGGTGGAGGTCGAGTGTCTTGAGCCATGATGTTTGTCTTTTTCAAGCTGATTTGCAGACCAAATTCTTTGCAGGCATTGGAGAAGCTTGACACGAGTTGTTGCAAACCAATTTCTGTGTGAGCTGTTAGTGCCGCATCATCCGCAAATAGTAGCTCGCAAATTAGGACAACTGTCGCTTTGGTCTTGGCTCGGAGGCGGGCAGTGTTGAAAAGTCCTCTATCAGCTCTGGTGTGTAACCAAATTCCCTCACTGCTATCCTTGAATGCGTATCGAAGTAGTACAAAGAAGAATATTGCGAACAGTGTTGTCCATTGCTGGGTAGTTAATCTCCCCCTTTTTAAGGACCGACTGGGTGTCCTCCACTGTAAAAACCGACTGAACTTGAGCATCAAGGATTTCTGCTTTACTTTTACTATCGCTCTTAAGGAAACTGTCTTTGTACTTTAATTTAGGAAACTCCATCTGATTCTTGGCATCAGCTCTTCATGCATGACAAGAACTTTTTAGGAGCCGCTGTGAAATCCTCACTGACTGTTTACAAGGTAAGTTTTGCTTGCGTTCCTAATTGCATATCTATCTTCATTCTCTATGCGCTTGTACCTATCTTTGTCCTTCTTCTTTCCTGATGATCTTGCTTTTTTGGTGCTCTCTGTTTTCTCCATATGGCTCACTGTATCTTGATGTCTATGCAGGGATTAGTGTGTTTACGAGGTCTGAAGATATGTGTTTCTCAATGATATTTGTTATCCTGTCCTTGAAATTATTCCAGAAACTCTCTGAGTTTGATGTTCAAGTTGGATCGGTTTTCATTTCCTCTGCATATGTTCTTAGGTGCTGTTGAATGGCTCCCACATCCGCCTTGTTCCACATGAAGATTTTACATTTTGGGGGGCCTATGTTTGAGCGGTCGTAAAAGTGTTCCCCACAGCACAATATCATGGTCACTCTTTCCTATGGGCAAAAAAAGGTTTGCAGCGTACTGTAAAGGTTGTCATGATGATATCTAAGATGTCTTCTCTGGTGGGGAAGTCTACTTGTTGTTTAAAGCCATTGTCTGCAACTATTTTCAGTTTGTTTCGTTCACTTTTTTCGTGTATCGATTTCCTGCTATTGTTGGTGAAATCCCGTTGATATAGGGGGTGTTAATGTCTCCAATGACATTCATTACATTGCTCATGTTTGCTTTCTTTAGTTTCTCAAATTTTTCTTTGGTAGCTTGCAGGCAGTCTTCATACGCCTTTTTAGGGGGTTGATAGTAGGCTGCTATGTTCTTGTGTTGTCCTGAAGTTTTAAAGGTTCCAGAGATGAGTTCGATATCTTTTGCTTTGTAGGTATTATGTAGTCGCAGGTCAGCTTTTGATGCAATAAGTACTCCACCATAGGCTTGGGAGGGCCTGTCTCTTTTCTCAACTTCATAACCTAAATATTTTGGAAACAATTCTGATGATTCAATTTTTTTCCATGTAGCCAGGTCGCAGTACCAGTTATGATATCAGGTCTGGTGGAGTCGATCAACGCATCTAGCTTCTATATATCTTCCCTTATTCTTAGCCCTGTTAAAGTGGACAGTCAAGATTTGAATCTATGGTCATTTGGTCAGGGCACAGAAGTTCTTAGAGGCTTTAGAGATGAGGTTTTCTCTGGTTTTACTGCAAAATCTAAGGGGATCGCTTATGGATTCGCTTCTGGATGTGATGTGGGCAGACTGAGAGTCTGGCGTGGATGAGTGGTTTGAAGATGATATATCCGAGGGAGTCTAATGCCCTAGATCAATTATAAGATGTCAATTCATTTGTTGTGATTGTTGCTGTGTTCTCAGTAGGCTGGCAAGGGAAATCTAATCCTGTACTAGATTCATTTCTTACCCTTATTTTGATAGCATCATCATAGACCAAGCTCTCCCACAGACCATGAAAGTCAGATGCAGGTAGGATCCAGTGAGATGCTGCAGACATGTTTTCCTCGTCTAGTTCTTCTGTGCCGGCTCCATCCGTGTGCAGTTGGAACACATGAATTTGGAGGTTTGCAGTAGTTAGATCAATTACCTAATCAGATAAACACAGGTTCAGAAAATATTTTTAAGTTCATGACAAAAAGAGAAGAAATTTCATGTATACTGACACAAACTGTTTAATGATTTCATTTTTCACTGATTTAACAAAAATAAAGATTTTGGATTTGCTTGAAGCATTTAAAAGTATTTAAATTTTTTGAACTTCAAATACTTCAATAAAAAATATGGTCTTCTAACTGGTGGTAAGAATGTGCACAAACTCTTGGCAATATCTATGATAGAGTTCACTGCTCTTTATATTTTAAGCTACTGAGTAACATTTATGGATATACTACTGAGGATAAAAAACCTTCTTTTCAACACCAGGCAGTTCCACATCACAGAGTGCTATGTATTTGATATTCTGTTGTATAAACGGGTCCTGAAATTCTTCCAACACAAAATCACCAAATGCTGTTTTCTTGGCTCTTAATAGTTCAATAACTTTTTCTTTAAGCTGATTTTGCCGTAAAGTGCTGAAAATTGAGATATAAAATTTTTCCTAGATGTTTCAAAGGCAAATCTTACTGTTTTATGTATTTTAAAGATGTTCAACCAAGAAAGGTTGGAATAGACTGCAAACCTTCGTAAATTCCTCAAAATGAAGTCACAATTGGTTCCACAAAATCCAAACCCAACATTGAGGGAAATAACAGCACAAATCCCAGTGGAGCAAGCAATCCAGAAAAGAAGGTAGAGATGGATAGTTCGTACCATGAGAAAACCCATGGCAAATATAACAAGAGAAACACTGATAGGAAACCCTGAATGATTAAGAGGACACGGAAGACCCAAAAAAACACCTGGCGAAGCAATGTCGACAAAGATATAATAAAGATTGGAAAAAATTGGAAAAACTTAGAGAAAGTAGCTAGAGATCGGAAAACTTTTAAAAATATTTTTAATTTTCTATGCTCCACTAGGAGTTGAAAAGGCAAAGAAGAATATCTTAGTTGGGCAGTTGTTGATGGCAGAATAAAACCAAATTTATTTCAAACATCTCTACAGCTTAGAAAGCATCAGGCTCTAAAATGAAACACTAAATTGATACCAGACCATATCAAGACACAACAAAAAATAAAGAAAATATGATCACATTTATTAAGGACTCGTTAAAAAAACTTATTGCACTAATTAGTTACCTATAATAGTTAACATCACTTATTGTTAAGTTACTTTATAAATACTGCGGCATTTATGTAATATCTTTTTTTAAAAAAAAGAGAGGAACATAGCAGATTTTGTTTAATTCAATACACTTAAGACTGCACAAGAAGAAATAAATGTGTTCCCTTTGTCACTTGTAAAAATAATATATGATGATAAATGAAGAGCTGTGTTCAAAAAGTGTGAAGGAAATAGTGGAACAGGGTATGCTGTCTTAATATAATGTATTGTCTTAAAAATGTTAAATCAAATTATGTACCTGCATGGGCTTTGTAAAACCTCAATATGATAAACATTTGCATCTTTTAATTCCATTTTTACATCTGTTGACGGAGGAAGGGCATTCTGAAGTGCTAATATTTGATTAGAATCCATCTGATTTTTTTCTGAAAAATCACACAAATACATTGAAATAAAATAGATGTTCAGATGCATTACTAATGTACTTAATTGTTAAATGAATAGAGAAAACTTAACAAAATAAAATTGCCCAAAAGCTCTGATTCTAAAAAATCCATTCTACTAACAGGTGAACCATTCATAAAGTTTGAGAGTATCTACCCTAGAGAAAGTTAGAGATTAAATTAAATATTTACCTGACAGCTGACATTATCAGCTCATTTAATTGGGGGTTGAGTAAGAATTTAGAGTCAAATTGTGTTGTTAAGATTTAATTCTTGTAAATTAAAATTTATAAAGCATTGTTTGTTGCAGGCTGTGACTTAGTACCTTCCATTAAGTTTGAGCGGCTATTAAGCCAAAGTGTTTGTACCGACCAGAGTTGGTTAAGCTTTTTGATACCCGCTTCCCCCCCCCCCCCCCCACCAAAAAAACTGTGCAGTTGGCCAAAAATTCTGCCCCTAAATATAAAGAAAACAAGTGTGTGTGGGGGGTCGCCACCTCGCCTATGCCACTGCTCTTTTACACCACTCCCACTGTCCATGCCATAACTCGTCTGGTTGTCTTAATTCATTTCTTGCATTGTTTTATTTTAAGTATTAAAAAATATATTAATATTGGCATTGGAATGGTTCATTTTAGCGCAACCCGCACATGACACACTACTAGTACTGTGTAGTGTAAAAAGTAAGTACTAAGTAGTGACACAGTTTGGAAAGAACTGAGCAGAAGCTCAAGAGACATAGGCGGCATAGGACGTAGTAGTGTGTTACTATAAAACTATTAAGAGTTACAGTTTAGAGAGAGTTAGAGTTTGTAATAGTAATAATAATAATGAGTTTGGGATTGGGTGTAGTGTAGACCTAACGCTACCTACTAACTAATACTACTAACAGTAATCAGTAACAGTACAGTAAAAGTGTAACTGTACTGTAAGTGTAAGTGTAAGAAGGCTTGAGACAGTTGAGAAGGCTCAGAAGGGTAACCGAGTGTTACTTTGAATTCTGTGTAGTAAGTTAAGGTAGGCTACATGTCTTATAATCAATAGTCTTAATTTAATATAAAATCAGTTTTAAAAAAAACTAACCCTAATAAATTAATTCGTTAAAGATGCATGTTAAGCTAATGTACTATTCTTAATGTAGGCCTAACTGAAATTTTCGATTTATCTTTCGTACTTCCCGGTAAAGACCTCTCCTATGCTTTGAAACCCTTTTCCGGTATTGCCAGATATAAGGACTTTTTAACAATAATTTGAAACTTTAAAAAATCGGTTAAGGTACTCCTCTTTGTGCACCTATTTTATTATCGTTTTAATTATCAAGGCAATAAGACCATTGAAATATTTTATCTCCATACATTTTGATTTGTATATCTGTATGCGAAATTTTAAATATTTTTAGTTTTATTTATTTACCAATTTGGGATTTCGTTTGAAAACATAATATAATAAATACTAAAATTTGTATTTTCGATTATATAAATATTCATATTTTCTTTATATGACATTAAAAATATGGACAATATGGTAGATAGTATTTAATTATTTCTGTGAAGCCTAGTATTTCAATGAGATGTCAGTTAATTAAACTGATAAATGTGCTTCTTTTCGTGTTCCATAGCCATAGCTGTTTTGTTGACATGAAATAATTGACCCCTTTCTGCTAACTTACTTATCTAAAAACATAATTAAACTAAAATAATAAAGAATGCATTTCATTTTTTTCCATTAAAAATATTTTTACATCAAAATATTGTAAACTCCGTAATAAAAAAAATGATAAAATGAAAAAGTAAGACTAAAAATGAAAGTAGCTAATAAATACTAATACTAATACAATACACTTTTTGAACCTTAGTCTTAACATTGTTTTGCGACCTTCTTATTGGATGCAGTTACAAAGTTTCATTGGGGATCTAAGTCATGTAACAAGGTACCTTCGTTTAAAATCAGCAATAAATATTCAAATTATCTATAGTATTTAAGCATTATTTTTTTTTTTTAATAATGAAATACGTTTATTTAAAAACGAGTCACATTTTACAATAATGTTTTAATTAGTTTAAAGTTAAGATATTAGCAAAAAGTAATAGAAATGTATTTCGTGTTTTAAAATTGGGATGCTGTTAAAATGTTGAGACCCTTGCCCTAAAATTGTGACGATCTCGACCGATTCCTTATAAACAAAATACATATTGTTTCAAGGTTTCACTGGACAATATGGCTTTAAATATTGGAGGTGTGCCTGCTTCCTTGCTTACCATTGGTTGACATATCGCTCAGTGACCTTCACCGTGACCCATATTTGTTTTTTTGTAGCACACATTTTTATTTGAACGAAGTAAACACGATTTTTATTTTAATGCGTTGATGTAAAAAAAATATTTAAAAAAGGTATTAAAAAATATTTATAGGACATATGAAATATGATTTCATAAAATTTGTATTGATACAACATTTTCAAAGCATCCTCATATTGTATACGATACGTCCAATTACTCAAATTTACTGGTTAATGTCAATGTCAATGATAAATGTCATATTGCCTATTTCTTATTAAAATAACGGTATTCAATAATTATGTATAATATTTGGTGATTGTGTAAGTCTGAAAAGATAATATGGGCGTGTATCTAAATATATATTGGAAAAATACATATTAAGATATTATTTAATAACTTAGACTTATATTAATTTTATATATTTGCTTCTTGAAACAATAACTACGTCAAATCGACTGTAACTGTATGAATCATTGAATCATTGTATTGTATATTAAAACAAAGTAAAGAAATCTTTGGAAGACTCAATACAGCTTCCTTTATGTATAAGTGTATTGTATATTAAAACAAAGTAATGAAATCATTGGAAGACTCAATACAGCTTCCTTTATTATTCATAATTCGAGTTCTACGGAATGTTAATGTTTTCGGTTATGTTATCTGAAATGGAGGTGTGTACAGGGTGTGTGACAATTATTCGCTTTCCATTGGTTGGTTCATTCTTAGGCCTCCAACCTTCACCTTGTTTGTTAATTTTTTTTTATAACGCAGATCAGTTCTAGGACATGTTTTTTTTTAGGCCTATGTACGTAGAAAAAAAAATTACCCGAAGGTTAATCAATTTATTCATTTGTCCTAACATTTTTAATGGGTAGGAAGAGTAAAAAACAACAACTAATAATTAGGTAGGTTTGAAGTTTAAATTCAATTACGTTGAAACAAGTTAAATTTCTCAATCTTGGCGAGAAAGAACCTGATGTATTATAGTATATATATATCTCTTATATATATTACGCTTCTGGTGTGACTCGTGGACTGCTTCCATTTTTGGCTGTTTCCTATTCAACGTATTTGGTATTGAGAGTATAGCCTATTACAAATAATTGTAAATTTTTGAAAGAAGTATGGTTCAATAATGAGTTCAATAGCGTGCAAAATATCATTCCCGATAACTACACCAAATGATTTTTTTTTTTATTTTAAATAACCCAACTGCGTTTGGTGCGTAATATTTTCTTTTCGGAAAATGAAATCGCCTCAATATAAGTATGATCTAAAAAATATTCGGTTCAAAAGTGGTTGGGACATCAGAATATTTAATATAGTTCATGGGCGTGAAATAAAAAAGTGTGCAGTGAAGTATCATGGAGGGAAGGGGCATGGCAAAAATTGGGATTCTTAAATGTGCGTTACTTAAGTTCATGCTTTGTCAAGTAACTTTAGTAGATGGAAAGTTCACGCATTGCTGTCGCCAATGTTTGGCGGGCTATATCTAGTATATATATATATATA